TTAATCTATATTTTACTTTTATTATAATTATTTTTAAAGTCTTTCTATTTCTTTCAAACAATATTCCTTTTCTTATATACTAAAATTTAGTAAAGGTTTAGAATTCATATATTTTTGATTTTTTATATTAGGATTCATATTTTTTTTAATATTTAATTTTTATTATTTTATATATATTTATTTTTTTGCTTGTTAATAATTTTTTTTAATTTTTTAAAATTCTTTTGAAAAATGATTTTTTAAATATATCTATTTTTTAAAAAAAAGTTACTTATTTTTATGATTAAGATAATAATATGTTTATACAAAGAAGAAGAACATAATTATATACAATAAATATATAATTATTGAAAAATAATTACAAATATTAAAAATATTATTTTAATTCTTATTTAAAATTTAAAGAAATAATAAGGAAAATTATAAATATTTTTTTTGTTTAAATTTTTTTGTAGTTAATTCATATCTATTGATATAATTGATACATTTAATTTAAAATACAAAAAAGATTTTTATAAAAAGATAAAATAATAATAAAATTATATTAAGTAATTAAATATATATATATATATATATATATAATAAAAGACATATAAACAAAAAAAATTCAAATTTATTTATATAAAAAATAAAAATATATATTTATAAATATAATAGTATATAAATAAAAATACTATAAAAAATATATGTATGAATATTTTTTTATATATATATATATATATACATTTATTAATATATTTATAAATATTTATTTTATATATAAAATCAAATTTATATTTAAATAGAAATTAAATAAATCTAATAAAAAAAAATGAAATAAATTTCTTTAAATATATTAACAAATAGAAAAAATGAAGAAATAAAAAATACAAACATCGATTTTTTATTTTTTAATAAATAATAATAATCCGATTATTTAATAGATAAAGAAAACGAAAAAAACGATAACTTATTAAAATTAAACGAACTTGTATTAAATTAAGAAAAGCTTTAATTAGAAAAAGAAATTAATTTATTAGAATTAAAATAATGTAATAACTAATGAAAATTAGATATTTTACCTAAAAATAAATAAATCTATTCATATAAAAATATACATCGTGTAATATATTTTATATTTATAATAAATAATATTATTTTTTATGTTTATTTAGGCAGATTTCGAAAAAAAATGGAATCAAATAACAAATTAAGACCACTTTTTTAATGAATAAAAACCTAAAAATACAAACTAAACATAAGAAGAAATCTAAAGTAATTTATAAATTGAAGAAAATACATTAAACGAATTATCCTGGTTAGATGAATTCTAAGAGTCGACATTTTTACAATTAAAAAGTATAAAAAAGATGATATTTTGCCTATTTATAAGGAGATTTAACATTAAAAAAGCTTTATTATTTCCAAAAATAATTAAAATAATAATTAGAATACGAAAAAGTAAAAACTAAATAAATTAAAAATAAAGAAGTATAATATATGAAAAAAATGGAAGCTTTTTGTAAAAATTAAATCTAATACTTTTGTAAATTAAAAAGGGGAAAATAAAAAAAGTTTCCTTTAAAATTCATATTTAGAAAAAGATAAATAAAAAAATAAAGTTTTTTAGAAAATAAGGTATAATTTTAAGATAAAAGAGAAATCTTTTAAGTAAAAAAAGAATATCTTTTCTAAAAAGATATTTAAGAAAAAAAGTAATTTTTTAAGGAAAAAGAGATGATATTTTTGAAAAAAATGAACAAATTAAAGTAAATAAAAAGGTTATTGATAATTTGTTTTCAGAAGTAGAAAAATTGATTAAAAATTAAAATAACAAGGACTATTTTTAAATTTATTAGAATGGTTAGAATGTTAAAAATGAACAAAAAGATAATACATTCTTTAAATAAAATTACCGTTTAAATAAATAAAAAAATTTACATGAAATTTTAGAAGAACATTCAGAAAATAATTCTGTTATATATACTTTTAAATAAAATTAATATATGTGAATTATTATTATAGTTTTCTAAATATTATAAATATAATTTAATGATTTATAAAAAATAAAATAAAAAGTACATTAAAAAAAAATATTAAAAAAATTAAAATTTTCAAACAGAAGTTATTATTAATAAATATAAAATATAAATATATATAAAATCAAATATAATTAATTTAAAAGTTAATTAATGTTTATATTGATAATAAGAAAACTATTTTTTTATTTAATTTATATTAACTAATTCTTTATATAATAACTTTTTAAAAAATAAAATTTAAAATTAATATAAAAAAAATATAATCTTTTTTTTTTTTTATTAAAATTTTATGAAAATATATTTTGTTTATAAATGATAAAAATAAATAATTTAATTATTTTTTATTCATTTTTATTTTATTTTTCTATTAGTCTATAATTATTATTTAGTATTTTTTAAGTTATCTATATCTTATTTAAAGAAGAGATTATTTTCTTTTATTATTTTCGAATTTTTTCTGATTTTTCAAATTAAATTTATAGGTTTTTGTAATCTTCTTCTAAATTTTATATTTTTTCATATTTTTTTAATTTTTTTTGCAACTTATCAACTTCTTATTATAGTTAAGTATTTTTATCTTTTTCGTTTAATAATTACTAATTAATATCTATTTTTTTAGAATTAATATTAACATCTTTTTATTTATTATTTTATATATTGCTTATAGATTTTCTTTAAGATGATTAACTTTATTTAGAGTTCTTTCTACTAATAGAAATATTATTTTATGTTTAAGAATTATTCACTGAATGTTCATTTACAAAATTATCGCTTTTAAATTTATTAGATCTGCACTTTTCTATTGATTAAGTAAAATTTCGAACTTAATTTATTTGTTGTTTATCTTTTATTTAAGAATTTATTGGTAAAGTTGAATTTTCATTACAAGATTTCAAACAAACTTATTAGTTGTCAAATGATTTTTATAAAGTTTACTGAATATAAAAAGAATAAATATATATATATATATTTATATATTCACTTATATTTCTCTATTTATATATATTATTTGTAATTAATATTTTTTATAAATTTTTTTACTTAAAATATATTTTATCTGTTTTAATTATTTTCTTTTATTTAAAAGGCTTATTTATATTAACAATTTTCTTTTCTAAATTTAAGATTTTATCTTATAATTCTTATAATTCTTTATTGAAATTTGGATCAATTTTATTATTTTAATTTAATTCACTACTACTCATTTCTGAAACTTATATTTTTTTTTTGTGTTTTTAAGAAAGTTTTTAAATATTATTAAATTTATATTGTGTTTGTACTTTTCTGATTTTTTTCTTGATGAGTTTTATGTTTCATTTTTTTCAAAATAAATTAATTTTTGAATTTAAAAATATATTACAATATATTTTTGTATTTATTTTTTATTTTATATATTTTATTTTTTAAATTAACAAAAAATAAAATAAAATGAGAAATTCTTATTGTATTGAAAGAAAAATTGAAGATTAAAATTAATAAAATATAAGAATAAATGATTAATTAATTATACAAGTAACTAATCAATGCGATTTTTCAAAAATATAAATTCTAAATTTTTAAATAAGGAATAATACAAACTTAAAAATAACAGTAATAAAAATAAAATAAAATTTTTAAATAAAAAAAAAGAAATTAGAAGGATTAAATCAACTTGTAAATTTAGAATAATTAAATTTAAGTTATAATAGCATATAAAAAATCTAAAATTTAGAAAATCTTAAATAATTAAAAGATTTAAATTTATCTGAAAATTAAATAAGATAAATAAATGGATTAGTATTATATATTTAAATATATATATATAAAAATATATATAAATATATAAATATATATATATTTTATATATATATATATATTTATATTTATATTTTAATATTATTTATATAATAATTAGTAATTTCTTCCAAATCTTGAATTATTAAATTTAAATGGAAATTAAATTGAAGATCTCCCTATAGATTCTTTAAGAAATTTACAAAGATTAAAAACATTAAAAATAAAGAGAAACAAAATAAAAGACTTAGAAGAAATTCCTAATTTAAACGTTTTAGTAAGTTTAGAAAATATTTCAATAAAAGAAAATATTTTTTGCAGAAAAATATCTTATGTGGAATATTTAATAAATCTTATTCCTCGTTTAAAATAAATAGATTAATAAAAGGTTGATGATGAGAATAAAAGAAATACCTTTTTTTTATTTACAAGCAATAAAATTTCAAATAATTAAAAAAATAAAAGCTAAAAGGATTTATAAGATTAAATAGAATGTTAGACATAATAATTAATTTTTTAAAGAGAACAGATAGATTAGTAAAATAATGTTATTTTTTAGTTAAATGTCAGTTTAGATGAGAAAATAAGAGAAATTACTAAATTAAATGAAAATTTAGAATATATGGAAAATAATTATTAAAATAATTAAATTAATAGGTTTTTGGAAGATCTTAATAATAATTAAAATAATCTTTTTGAATATCTTTGGGAAAAATTTTAATTTTAAGAAGGAAATATGAATACTTTGGGGCAAAAAAGAGATGATATTTAAAAAAAAAGAGACGAGTTTTTAAGTAAAATAAACTGTTTAGAAAACTAAAATAAACGTTTAAAAGAAAGAATTAAAGAAAGAGAAGAAGAAATTAATAAAAATTATTAAAAAAATAAAATATATAATAACAGTATATAAAAAAACAAAGAATAGTCTATTAAAGTTTATGAAAATATGAATAAATAATAAGATGATCTAGAAATTATTATTAAATAAAAAGAAGCAAGATTATAATTATATTAAATAGAAGTAAGAAAAATCGAAAAATATAACTAAATATATATATTTAGTTATATATATATATATATATTTATTTTTATAAATATATATATTTATATATTTATATATTTAAATTTATTTATTTTTAATATAAATTATTTAATAAAAAGAACGAAAGATTATAAATATAAAGTACAGAAATAAATGAAGAAATAGAAAAATCACGATAAAAAATTGAAAAAACACGAATATTAATAAATTCTTTAGAAAATAACATTAATGAGTAAAATATCGAAATTGAATAAGACAAAATAATATTGGATAAAAAAGCGACTAAAATGTATAAAAAATTATCCTCTTTTTAAGAAAAGAATAACATTTTACTAAATCATATTAATTAAAATAATGAAAAAATAAATAATTTATAAAACGAAGTTGAACTTTTAAAAAAAGAAAGGGAAATAGGATATTTGAAAAATTAAAAAACTGTCAAAACAAGTGAATCTAATATTGAAAAAGAAGAAATGAAAAAAATAAAGGAAAATATCGAATTTAATAGTAATGAAGTGGAAATTTTAAATTAGAAAATTTAAGAAAATAATGCTTTAATTCAATAATTTGAAGAAATTTTATTAAAAAATGATGAATAAATTTAAAAAATAGAGTAGAATGAAAATGATGAAGAAAAAAAAGAAAAAATTCAAATTTTTCTTGCAAATGTTTTGGGTGGATTTGAAAAAGAGAATTTAAAAAAAATTAAAGTTATATAAAGTAGCATATGTTTTTTAGCAAATTTAGTTAAAAATAAATGTCCAAAAAATTTTTTGAAAAAGATTAATCTGAAAATTTTAGATGAAATAGCAGATGAAAGCAATTAAAAAGGTGATATTTTTGAATTTATATAGTAAAGTTTGGCTGATTTAAGTGGAATTTTGAGGTTTTTTTTCGAAGAAACGGATGATAAAAGGATATTAAAAGATGTTTTATAAGAAAAAGAATATTTAGAGACAAAAAAAGAGCTTGAAAAGTTAAAGAAAGAGGTTGAATTTTTCTAAAAAAAAAAATTAAATTTCCTTGAGAATATTTAAGGTTAAAAAGGTTAATCTTTTTGGAAAAAAAAAGGTGTTTTTATTGAAAATGATGATTTTTTTGAAAAAATGTGGGATGTTTTGGATGAAATATTGTAAAAAAATGAAGAAAAAATGAGAAATTTCAAATAAATAAAAGATTAGTTTTTAGTTGATTTTGAGAAGGAAAGTGAAGAATTATTAGAAAAAATAAAAACTATGGAAAAACAAAAAAAAGATTTTAAAAAAGAAAAATAAGCTTTTGAAGAAAATATGAAAAAAAAAGAATAGGAAGATATTTTTAAAATTAAAAACGAAAGGGATTTATTGAAAGAGGAAAGGAGATATTTCATTGAAGAAAAAGAAGAATTTTTAAAGGAAAAAAAAGAAAAAAAAATACTCTTTTAAAATAATAAAGAAGAGATTTTCTAAGAAATTGAAAAATTAAATTTATAAAAAAATGAAATTGATTTATAAATTTTATAAGTTAAAAGTCATTTAAGTAGATTAAGAGGAGAATGTGATTAATTGGAATGTTTTAAAAAGGAAATTTAGGAAGAAAATGATTTTTTGGATTAAAAATGTGGTATTTTTAAAAAATTATTGTAGGATTTAGACAATTAGAGGGTTAAGAAGGAAGAAGAAATGTATAGTTTAGAAAAAAAAATAGATATTAATTAAATTGACATTTAAAAGGGTGAAAAAATGAATTATTTTTTGAATTAATAAAAGGAGAAAATTAAAGAAGAAGTTAAAAAGGAAGAAAATTTGTTAAAAAACTTAGTTGAAAAACATGAGATGGAAGAAAAAAATTATAAAAAGAAAATATTAGAATTTGGGGAAATTTTAAAAGAAAGTAAAGAAATTTTGAGAAAATTAAATGAGGAAATATTAGAAAATTAAAGAATTTTAAAAGATTAGGAAAAATAAATGAAAAAATCAGAAGATTTATACTAAAAAAATTCCGTTTTGAAATAATAAAATGAAAGTTTGGAAGGAATAATAGAAGAAAAAATGCTAAAAATTGAAGAATTAGAAATGAAAATTTAAGTTTTGGGAAATTAATAATGTCAAATTAAGAAAAACATGGAAAATATGAATCATGTTTTTTAAGAAAATTAAAAATAGATTTTTATTATAGAAAAATAAGTAAAAATTATATATATATTAAATATATATAACATTTACTTTTTTTTATTTTTTTTTAAAAAATAGATTAACGAAAGTTAGTAAAGTTTATTAGATAATGAATTAAAAATTCAAAAGATGTAAAGTTAATAAAAATACTTAAATAAAGAAATTTAAGATTTGAAAGAAAACAAAGAAAATTTTTTAAAAGAAATGGAAATTTTAGAAGAAAAGAAAGAAGAAATTTCAGAAAAAATAAACAATTTTTCTTTATAATTAAATAAAAATGAATTTTCTATATAAAATTAAATTAATGAAAAAAAAAAGAAAACTCTTAAATTTAAGAAAATATTTAATTAAATTAAGAAATTTTGGATGGTTTAAATATTCAAATTTAAGAAAAAAATTAAAAATTAATCTTTTTTGAAAAATTATAGAAAGAAGAAAAAGATAAAATTGAAATTTTGAATATTTTAAATATGTAAATTAATGAAAAAGAGAAAATTATCACGAATATAAATAATGAAATTTTATAAAAAAATGCTTATTTATCTTCTTCTAACTAATAATTTTCTCAATATTAGACTTAATAAAATTAATTAGTAAAATTTTATTATTTTCTAATATTATTATTTTTTTTAAAAAAAATAAAAAGATACAAGATATAGATTATTTATAAAACAAAATATAAGATTTAAATGAACAGGTTCTTGATATAGAAAATTATAATGAAGATTTAAAAGAAGAATAAAATATATTTTAGAAAGGATTAAAGTTTTATAATTAAAGGAGGATTAAATTTGCTTTAATTTAGTTATAAATGGCGAATAAGTAGAATAATCCTAACAAAATAGAATCGAAGAAATTCTTGAATTTTATTATGAAAGCAAATAATCTCAGAAATAAAAAAATTCTAATTTTATATAAAAAAATTAGTAGTAGAGTGAAAATTCAAATTATAATAACGAAAACTTTAATTTTTCAAATAGAAAGTTTTTTAATAAAAACTAGGGAAGTGATTAAAAAAATGATTCAGACATCAAACTTGGAACTTAAAATACTAGTGTTGATCATGTTTTAGGAAATCTTGAAGAAATAAACTAGTAAATAAATTTAATTTAATAAAGATAAATTGAAAAATAATCAATATAGTGAATTTTATATTTTTTTAGATAAAAAACTGAAAAATATAAATATTTTTTTTTTATAATATTCTATTTGGCCTATATTATTTTTTCATATTGTTTTTTATATTTTTTCTTCGCCCTTTTTTTTGTTGATTGATTTTTGTTAGCGAAAAAAATCGTATAAAAAATAAAATGAACATATAATATATTTTTGGCGTAGTTTTTGTTTATAATATTTTAATTATATATTTTTATTGTTATATTATATTTTCTTTTTATTTAAATTAAATTTAATTCATTGTATTTATATTATATTTAAATATTTAAATAAGGAAAAAATATATTATATTGTTTATATTAATATAATTAATTTATATTAAGAATAGCAATAATTTGTAAATTATATTTACAAAATCAATTAAAAAATACAATATATAAATATATATTTATTTTAATAATAGAAAATATATATATAAAAAATATTAATATATTTATTTTAATTATAAATAATATATAAAATATTAGATGTCTTATTAATTAAAAGTGTATACCAAAACATGGTAAAAAGATAATTATAATCTTTTCGATTATCAAAATAATACAAAAGAAATTAGCTCAAATACCCATAAAATAAATTAAGAAGGATTTTTAATAAGAATAGTACATAATACGCAATACATATAATCAAAAATATTAAAATAAAAAAATAAAGAAGGCATAATATAATAAGATAGTTTTTTAGTTCATATAAAAAAGCAAAGTATAATTTTACTTTATTTTACTGAATTTTTTTTAGATTTTTTTTTGTTTTAATTTAAAAAAAAGCTGGTTTCTATTACATTTAACCCTCATAAAATTGTGAAAATCCTATTTGGAAACGAATAAAAGACAATTAGAATGAAACTAATTGTATTTTAACAGAAAATGATTAAATAAAATTAGGGAAAAAAATTTTTAATGTTTTATAAGTAAAAAAAAAAAAAAACTAAAAAAACAAAAAATATAGATTTCAACATTATGCAAAAATTAACCTTTATAATAAATAAATGATCATTATTCAAAATAAAGATTTTCTCATATAGCTCAATCTTTTATATCAGAATTAGAAAACTCAAAATCTTAATTTTCAGTAAATAATTACTTTTTTTAAATTAATATAAAAAAAAGAAAACAGAAAATTAAAATAAAATAAATGAAGAATAATAAAGAGTTTGTTGTCGAATATGCTTAAGTACAAGTACATCAAGTAAAAATCCTTTATTTTCGTTATGTAAATGTAGTGGTACAACCCGCTGGATTCATTATTAATGTGTAAAAATATGGATAAACAGTCGAATTTAATATAAAGAAAATGATGGAGTAATAGAAATAAATTCTAAGAGCGTCAAATGTGAAATTTGTTAAAGTTTTTTTCCTCCAAATATATAATTTAATGGAGATAATTTTAATTTATATAAGTTTAATCTTTCCCATATTACAGAATTTATAGTTCTTGAAGAAACCGAAAAAAACACAATATATATATTAAACAGTTAATATAAAAAAGAATTTTAAATAGGACGAAACAACCTTTCAGATATAAAATTAAATGAAATAACGATTTCAAGGTCTCATGCTTCATTAGGAATAAATGAAAATAATCAATTTTATATAAAAGATAATAATTCGAAATTCGGAACTTTAGTTTGTTTAAAGGAATAACTTCAAATTAATTTACATAAATTATCTGAAATTTAAAAAGGAAGAACTTTTGTAATTTTTTAGGTGATTTATAAGCATAATTTACTTTAATAAATTTTTAGGAAAATTTGTTGCTAAGATTAATAGAATTCCATTTTAAATTATTCCAATAATAATGAATAAACTAATGTTTCAAATAATAATAATAATAATTTGCAAAGTAATGATTTTTAGTAATAGTAAGTTGCTTCTTTAGATTAAAATAATGTTTCTTATAATTCGGATGATTATATTTCCAGAAACTTTAATTAATATTTTGATTCTAATCAAGATTTCATTAATAATATCGAAATTATTGCTTAAAGAATTGAAAATTTGGATGGTGATGAAAATGATGATGTTAATAGTGAATACGAAGAACATAAAAGTAATAATGATCATGATAATATTAATACCGATTAAGTACAAATTGGTTATAATATTTTAAATGATAATAGTAATTAGATAAATTAGATTAATAGTAATTATAATTAAAATAATAATATAAGTACTATAAATACTAATTTATAATATGATTTTAATCATCAGAAATATTATCCTTCTAATAATATATGAATTATTTATTATATTAATAAGAATTTATTAATTTTATTTTTTAGTCAAGAAAAAAAATATTATTTTTTTTTTAAAAAAAAAAATTCTTTTATATTTAATTTAATAAAAATAAATAAAAATTTTTTATATATATTTAAGTAAAAAACATAAAAAATATATATATACAAATATGTTTTTTTTTTATTATTATTTTTAATTTATTTTTTTAAATTTTTTTTATCTATACAATTTTAAAAATTAAATGAATGAAATAATCATTATTAAGTCCCTTTTTACATAAAAGCCATTAAAACTAAAAATCGATTATGATTCAAAAAATTAAAACTGTACTTGTAAATATTCTCAAATATCTTTAAAAACTAATTTATTCATAAATTAAATAAAAATATAACTAATTAATGGATAAAAAAACATGTTGTGTGAAAGAGAATGTTAACTTTTTAAAGAAATCATTTAAAAATTAAAAGAAAATAGTATATAAAAGTTTACATTAAATATAGATATGAAAAATATATTAGAAAATGGAGGAATTCACTATTATTTACATAAATAAATTCAATTAATCAATGAAAATTTTAAATTGAAAAAAATCAGTTTAAAATTAAGTGAAGATTATATGAATTAAAATTGCATAAATTAAATAAATTTAGAAGAATTTAAAAATATTGAAATGTTTAAATTATCATCTAAAATAAGTTTTTAGATGAATTTTTTAAGTAAAATACATGTAAATATAAAAGAATTAAACTTGAAAATTTAAAAAAGTAAAGATTTAAACTTTGAAAAGCTTTTTTTTGTAAATTTCAATTTTCTTTAAAAAATGAGCATTAAAATAAAAGAATGTGAATTAACTTTTATTAACCTTTTTTTAAATTAGATTATTTCTTAAAATTCTTTAAAAATTGTAAATATTAATTTGAATTTAGTTCAAGATTTATTTAATTCTAAAGAAGATTTTTATAGCAATTTATATAAAATGTTGTGCGTTTTAAATTAAAAAAAAATATAAGTTAATATTTTTAAATTAAATTCTTTATAGATTGAAGGTTCTAAATTATTAGTTGATATTTTTGGAGCTCTTTGTAAATTTTAAATTTAAAAGTTATCTTTAAAATGCTGCTTTTTGGAAAAAATTACAACTATTTTAATGTCAATTATTTATAAATTGGTTGACTTATTAAAAATTTAAAAGAAATTTTTAACTCACTTTAGTTTATAATCAAGCATTCCATTTAAATATTTAAGTATATTAAAAGATATATTAGAAGATAATTTTGAAAATTTAGTTTAATTTAAATTTGTCTAAGATAAAAAAGAATTATAAGTAATTGAATTAAATAAAATTCCAAACAAATTATGCAATATGAAAGGAATAAATGTAAAAAGTAAAGTTAGTGATTATAAATATTTAATAAGATATGATTAAAGTAACTAGTTTATAAATTAATTTTTAAATAAAAAATTGAAATTGCTTTATTTATTATATGCTATAAGAACAAATAATATATTAAAAAGAGTTGATATGTATATATAATTTGTAGATTTTATATGATTTATTTAATATAAAAAGAAAAATATATGTTATATAAATAAATAAATAAATAAATATATAATATTATATTATATTATATTATAATATATATATATATATATATATATATATATATATATATATTTTTTTTATTTTGACATTTTATATTTTATTTAGATATAAGTTTTGTTTATTAACAATTTAATTCTTACAATTTTATTTATTTTCACATTTCATTATTATAATAATACCAATCTTATAATTGATTTTCTTATTTTAATTTACTTACTTTTTACTTTAAATCAATTTTTTAATTTACGATTTTAGGTAAATCAGGTTTGGGTAATTAAAATATTCTTTTTTTATTTTTATTTATTTAAAAAGAAAAAATAAATACTTTTATTTAATATCAAACCAATTTATTTATTTAAAAAAAGGATGTTATTTTACTTCTTAAGATCCTCCTTTTCCTAATCTCTCTTCTGGATTTTTATGAAGTAACTAAAAAATAAAAAATATATGAAAATTATTTTAAATAGAATTACAGCTGAAATTAAATTCTTAGCATTTTCAGATAAATATGAAGGAAATTTAACTTCTTTATTTTAAATATAATAGTATAACTCTTGTCTATTTAATTAATTGAAAGGAGGTTAACCAACCATTAATTCATAAGCCAAAATTCCAAATTAATACCAGTCTACAGCTTTATTATGTCCTTTTTTACCAATAATTTCAGGAGCCATATAAACTGCAGACCCAACAAAAGTTTTGGATTAACCTTATCCTATATTTTCCTTTGATAATCCAAAATCAATTAATTTTATATGTCCATCGTCAGATCTTACTATATTTTCAGGTTTCATATCTCTATATATAACATCTTAAAAATGAAGTTCTTCTAATGCAAGAAGGACTTCACATAAATATTTGATTGCTAATTCTTCATCAAATCTATATTAATTTATTTATTTGTTTTTAAACAAAAAATTACCTTTATTTTTTTTATAAAAATGAATATAAATCTCCTCCTGGACAATAATCCATAACCATAATTAAATGATTTTCAGATTAGAAAGAATGGTGAAGTTTTACTATAAATGGAGAGTCACATTTTTGCATTATATTTCTTTCTGAAATTGCATATTTAAGTATATTTTCTTCTGTTTATATTTGATTAATTAATTTAAATAAATATATTAAAAAAAATTACTTAAAAGTTTATTATAATCAAGAATTTTTATTGCATAATATTTTTAACTTTATATATGTTAAATTAAGAAAACATCTCCATAGTTTCCACTTCCTAGATGTTAGAAAATATTATATAATTCAATTCCTTAATGTATTTCATTTTTTTATTAAAAAAAAGCTTATTAGCATTACTAGACAGATATCATTTGTTATTATAAAAGTTCTTAATTTGAAGACTAATTCCCTTGTATAACAATATTAAAATTATTTTAATTTTAGAGGAGTTCATTTTATGAATTTAATTAATTGTTTTCTATGATTTTTTTTTTTTCATATTTTAGAACTTTTTATTTGAAAAAATATATTTTTAAGATTCATTAACTATTTATAAAGCTGGTGTTTTAAAGTTATTCCCATATCCAATTTAATTTAATGTATTTTAATAAGAATTACTATGAAGAGTTTCCTAATTAATGTTTGGACTTTCTAATTGATGTTAATTTAAACTTTTGTTATTTCTGTTTTCATATTTTTCATTTTAATAGCTAATTTGTTGATTTTGGTATGTTTTTTATCCTTTTTATAGATTATAAATTGAAATATTTTGAGTAAGTGAGTTCTTTTAAGGTTCTATTGGACTGCTTATATTATTTGTGTTTCGATTTCCATTTCCATTTGTATTTTTAATTTTATTTTTATTTGTTTCAATTCTAAAAGATGATTATTGGTAAAAGCCACAACCTCTCATATTTGTTTTATACTTCTTATTAGTTTTTTGGCTTGAATGAGATGTTTTTGGAGTATTTAAATGTATACTGTCTTTACTTTGGTCTTGTGGTTTTAAACTTAATTAAAATGAATTATTAAGTATCCCTTTTTTCATATCTCTAAAAACGTTGTATTTATTAAATATATTTAAGATATTTTAGTCTTATTAAATGTAAAATGCTGCCTTTTAGCCTTCTTTGTTTTAGATGTTTATATTTATATCTTTTTTTTTTAATATTAACTCAATTAGATTTTCTTACTTTTATTAACATGTCAAATGTAAAACTGTATTTCCTTAAAAGTCTTGCTTGTTTATGTCTGTGTAAATTGAGTTTTATAAAATATATTCAGATATTTCAATAATTTTAACTTATTTTTTTATTTTTTGTATTGTTTATATTTATTTATTTTACTTTAAAATAGATAATATTAAAGGAGTTTATTTTAAATTATTTTGTATGTTTAAATCTATTAACATAAATTAATGTATGTATTTAAACAGACTTAAACTGTTTTTATAATAAGTCAAATTATGTATAAAGGTATTCCCTGTTTCTTAATTTCTTATTTATACTAAATCATCTGTATTCATTTATGTTGAGATAATATGTTAGACTTCTTAAAAATTCTATACATGAAGCAGATTATATATTTATTCAAATAATTGATTTTTATATTAATTTTATGATTATGTTTAAGAAAAATTATCTTGCATATTAATTTAACGAGTTAATTTCAATTGTAAATTTTTGTTTGTGTTTGAATGTTGTTATGCTATTTGATCATTAAACTGTTACGATTTTTATTTTTCAAATTGTTTTACTAGCCGTAAATCTACGTTTGCGGTTGGAATTGAATGATCTGTTACAAAATTTCCTTTTTAAGAATATAATATGTCCTTTTAATCAGTTGCTTTATAATCTTTATATAATATTTGATTTTTTTAAAGAATTTATATAAATAAATATTTTGTGTGTTATATTTAATAAAAATTTAGATTATGTTTTTAACAACCTTTGGAAATTTCTTTATTTTTTTAATTCTTTTGTTTATAGAAATTGTTTTGTGTGTAAAATTATGGTTAATGGCTGTTTTAATTTATTTATACATGGTTTCGAGGTTTATGATTTGATATTTCACTTGTATTTTATATTTAATTTTTTAATGGAGATATGATATTATACATTTTATAATTAAATTTATTTTATATTAGAATTTAAATTATTGATATTTAATTATCAAAAAATAATATAAGAATTATAAATAAAAAATTGAATGATATTTTATTAATGAAAAAAATTATTTAATATAAATTTGAAATTAATATACAAATAATATTTATTTAAGTAAAAATAATAAATATCAATATTTATATTTTATATAATTTCATTTTTTTTATTTATATATAAAAAAATCTTTTTTTTTTTGTTCAAAATAAATAATATATAAATAAAGAAAAATTATAAAAAAAAAAATGTTTATAATAAAAGACAAAAACGAGGTTGCTTAAATTAATAAAAAGGCCAATAAGAAATATATAAATGGTTTAGCATAAAGCCTATTTATTTTTGCTATTTTAAAAGGATTAGGTCACTATTATGAAACAAAATGATAGATAGATTTATATTCATATATACAAATATAAAATATTTTAGCTTAAATATATTGATTTGAGGCTTTATATTATATATATATATATATTGTTTTTATTATGTTTTTTGAATAAATTTTATTAAAATAAAAATATATTAAAACTTATTATTTCATACTTATATGGATTTTAAAAAAAAATATAAATAAAACATATAATAATATATACAAAAAATATTCAAATCTATAATTTGTAATATTAAATAAAATTTATAATAGTTTCTTAATGATATAATATTTTGATTAATTTTCAAATAAATATTTAAGTTCTTTTTATAATTTAGACATTATTAACTATAAATAAAAAAAATTTCTTTTATATTTTATAATTATAAATGATTTAAATCTAAATATATATAATCACAAAAAATATAATAAAAAAGAATATTATTTTATTTTTCTTTATAATTTTATATATTTAAAAATTATAAATGTACTATAAACTAAAATAAAATTAATATAATAATACACTTTTATTTAATAAAGTAATTTCTACTTATAAAAAATTATTATTGATACAAAATTATAACAATTATTTTTGATATATCAGATGCAATCAAGAAAAATTTACTTAGTATTAATGAAATTTTATTAAAAAATAAGTATTTAAATCAAATTATAAAATTAGCCCATTAAAAAAATAGTTATTATTAATACATTTAAAAATATATTATTAATTATTAAGAACTTATTTAATTTATAATAAATCTAAGTGAATTATGAAAATGATAAATAAAAATTAATAATTTAGATAAAAGAAAAATAAAAAAATTAAATTTTTTAAAATAAATTCAATTTAAATTTAAAAAAAAAAGACTATATATAATATTAAATAAATTAAATTATGTTTTTATAATTATCTTTATATTTTATTTTTTTTAAAAAAAAAATAATAAATATATTTTTTATCTTTTAATTTACCTTTTTTTTTTTTTTTAGTAATTGTTTTGTTTCTCATAAAAATTGTTTAACAGTTTCTTTAAAATTAGGATCTATTTATTCAATAGCTTCATAAACATCTTATTCATTGTTACTTGGATTTTCATAATTTCCTCCATTTTTGTTAATTATATTAAGGTTTTCATTATTTTATTCTTTTTTATCATTTTCAAGATTTTTATCATTTATCTCTTTACTATTTTTATCATCATCGTTTTCATTATTTTTTTTCTAAGGACTTTAGTTTGACTTTCTTTTTTTATTTTTATTATTATTATTATTTATCACCTATTATTATTAATTATTATTATTTTTTCTTTAATTACTTTTTAGAACAGCATTAATTAAATAATAGCATGTTTCATAAGTAATTTTGTGATTATCTGAAATATCTTTATAAGACTATCCTTCTTTATATTAATTGTAAAGTATTTGCTTGAAATTTTCACTATATTTTTATAAGTTAGACTCTTCATTCATGATTTCCATTAATTAATTTTATTCATTATTTTTTTTATTTGAATTTAATTTCTATTATTTGCTTCTTTCATCATTAAATCTCCTTTTCTATTTTGATTTTTTTCCGTTATTTTCTTCCTTAGAATTCAATTAATTACTCTTTTCATTCATTTAACTGTCAGAATTAGAATCACATTCAATTACATAGCTTTATTTTATTTTTTCATTTTAGTTTTTGCTTAGTTCGGATATTTGTTAATCATTTTATCTTGGAGATATACTTTGACTTTAATATTATTTGTTTTAATCGAATTTCAATATTTACCCTTCATTATTATTCTGTTTATAAGATTTAAAATCTTGGTCTATGTCTTTAATTACTTTTTAAATATATTTTTATTCGTTTAGTATAAAATTCCAGTTTTAGCAACTTTCATGTTCATTTATTAATACATATTGGATTTTTTGTAATGATAATGTTATTTGGGTAGCTCTACTCTCATATTTTTAAATTAATTTTTATTTTTCTTTATACATTTTTTTTATTTCAAATTCTTATTATTTTTTTCTTTAATTTTCTTAAAGTTTTTCAAATAATATTAATATTTCAAAAATAGTTTTTTTATTTATAAATTAATTGATTTATATATATATTAATTTATTATAAGTTTTTATAAATGATAACCTTTTATTTATATATAAAATTAAAAAAATAAAATAATTTTTTTAATAAATATTAAGAAAAATATAAATAGGAATTAAAACCTAAATTGGCTAATTAATTTTGTGTTTTTCTTCAAAATAAATAAAAAAGAATATAATATAAAAATCTTAAAATCTAAAAATATCATTTTTTTAAAATAATTTTTTATATTTAAAATTAATTATAATTCCTTAATAATAAATATATATATAAATTCATGATATCATATGTTTATTTTATTCATATTATTATTAGATAGTTATTAATAAAGTTTATTTTAATATGTTTTTTTTTTTTAAAAAAAAAAAAAAAAGTTAAAAATAAACTAAAGATAATTAATCATTTAATTTCAAAATTATAATTAAAAATAAAAAAATAATACGTAACTTTAAATATTGAAATTTTTTAATAAAATTGCAATATTATAATGTTTTTAAATTTATATTTATATATTTTAAAATTTATTTTTATTAATAAATATTAAATTTAAAGATAAATAAGATACATCATAATATAATCGAATAAAAAAAAATAATAGTTATAATTATAAAAATATATGTAAATAAAGAAAATTAAAAAGTATGTATAAAATATATATTTTTAAATAAAAAAAAATTTAACTTAAGAATAAACTATTATAATAATTTTTTTAAATATAATGAAAATGATATTTTTATTATTCTTTTATAAATTTTATTTCTCTAAATATTAATATTTTAAAAATTAAAATCTTGACATTTTTAAAATAAAAAGTATACTTTTATTAAGAATTATATATTTTTTTATTAGATTATAAATTTATATCTAATTTTTTTTAATTAAATTTTTATTTTTATTTTTTATAAATTTGTTTGATAGCAAGTATTTAAATAAAAATAACACATAAAAATTTATATTATAATATATTTATTACTTCATCAATTTATTATAATTTATTTAATTTATAATTATATTAAAAAAATTTTTCTCTTAACATTTATAATTTTTAAATAAGTAAAAATAAATGTAAGAAGTGTTAAGTGTTAATAATAAGATCAGTAATTAATTAATAAATTTTTTAAATATTATGATTTATTTTTATTATATTTCTTATAATCGTTTTTTATTAGATAATTACTACTAAACCACATTGATAATATATAGAAATCCTAAAAGAAATATAATAGGGAAGAAAAAGAAATTAAATAAATATGTAAGTTACAATGAATATAAGTATAATATAAAAAACTAAAATTAATAAAAAAACTATATGATATCATTTTAAAATAATAAAATATAAATTAAAAAAAAAATTTGCAAATATAAATAACTTAATTATGCTAAAAATACAGTGAATTATTATTAATAATTAAAACTATTAGATTTAAAAAACGTTGCGAATACTGATAATTTAAATTAGACTTTAACGTTTATATAATACTATCCTTTTTAATAAATAATGACTTAATAATATTTTCAAGAACCTTTTATTATATTTTTATAATAATTACACTAAAATTAATAAAATGAAGGCTAATTTACTTAAATATTTAATTAAGAAGAATTTTTAATTGAAGAAAACTTAAGAGAAAAAATTTTACAGAAATTTTATTTGTACTTAAAAGGAAATTACAGACTTTTGAAATACTATGAATTACAAATGAATAATCTTTTATAAAATTCCGAAGAAATAATAATAGAATAGATAAATTAACTAAATAATTAGTAAATAATAGATATATTAAAATAGGAATATGGAATAAATATAGCTAAATAAAAAGACGAATATAAAATAAAAGGTTTAAATAGTAAAATTAATATATTAAATTGTAGTAATTAAAAAAATAAATTTTATAATATGCCAAAATATTTAATGCATTTAATTTTGGAATTATTATCTTTAAGTCATTTATAATAATTAAAAGTACCAGAACCTTTAAATTAATAAATTTATTAGATTTCTTTATAACTTAAGTAATAAGGCAAAAAGAATAAATTAAGTTAGACTTATTATTATAATCATAATCATTATAATTGCTTATTTTTGACTATTAATTAAGACAATAAATAAATGATTTTTTAAAATTAATAATTGTAAGACATTACTAAAACTGTATTTAAGACTGATGATTTGGATGATAAATATGCGATTTTTAGGGTTAATATATTTAAATGTTTGGTTGGTAAAATTATAATTTCTTAATTAAATTAAATTGTTAATATTGTTGATCGAAAATATAATAATGAAGACTCTGATTAATTATATAATAAAGAACTGATTCTTAAAACACAATATATAAAATTAGCTATTAAAGGAATATAAAAATTAAATTAAGGTCAATCTGTTTAGAGATTCTGAATCTTGGTTAAATAAAATTTTATATTATTTTAAATTTTTTAACTTTTAAAAACTAAAGGAAGAAAATAAAATAAATAAATATTTATTTCATCTATTTTTAATTGTTTATTTAAATAAAAATTATATTTATTTATTTTTTATATCTAAATTTAATTTATTACATTTATATAAATAAATAAAAAATAATAAATTTACGTAATAATTTTAATTTATTATAATCTAATTAATTTAATTTTTTATATAAAATATAGATTTTTTTATTTATATTATAAAAATTATTTAATAATAAAATTTTAAAATTTAAATTTAAATATAAAATATATTAATAAAAATTTTAATTTTGTTTAAATTAATTAAAAAAAATATTTTGATTTGATTAATATGTATTTAATTTTTTACATATCAATTTTTTAAAATATTTTTTAAATAAATGATTAAATTATGATTTTTATTATGCATTTTAAAAATTAAAAGATAAACAATTAGATAAAAATGACAATTTAAATATATTTAATATATAAATAATAAAAAATATTTTTAATATTTTAATCAAATTTTAATATAAAAGAAATAATAATATATAATAATTATATTAATATTAATAAAGAAATTAAATAATATTAATATGCAAATATATATTTTTTTAAAAATAATGCAATTTTATAAAAAAAATACAAAAATTAAAAAAATAAAAATAAAAATATATAAAATTAAATAATAATTATAGATAAATAAATAAAAATAATAGTGTATATATATAAAAATAATACTGTATATATATAAATATATATATATATATATATATATATTTATAATTTAAATATAATTATATATATTTATAGATATTTTTATTAATATTTTTTTTATATTTTTTATTTATTTCCTAATTATAGTTATTTTATTAATTTTAGATTATGTAAAATTAATCTAATATCTTAAATATATTTAATTTAAATTAAATTTTTTAATTAGATTTTAAATTTAGTTATAAAACACATGATTATCTATTATTTTTAATTTAGACTTTATTAAATTATAATAATTTATTTAAAAATATTATTTTAAAATTTTATATATTTATAAACTTTTGTTAATTTTTTAATTTATATTTATTTGATAAGGTTTATTCAATGTTTTTATTATATATTTATCTTTACTTTTTGTATTTTTATATTTTTATAAAAAAATAAGAATTATTATAAATAATTTGAATATTAAATAATTTTTTTATTTATATTATTAAATTACTTAAGATAATCAAATATATCATATATTTTTAATATAATAAATAATATTTTTAAGTATTTTATCTTAAAATAAAAATTATTATTAAATATTATTATATTTGCTAAATATTATACATATTAATTTATTTAAAGAAAAAATATTGTTAAAATATAATTCTCTTATTTCAAAAGATGCATTTTATATTTTCCTAAAGGTATAATTAAACTTTTCTTTCTTTTATTATTTTTTTTTCTAAATTAATTAATTTTCATATTATTAAAAAAAATAGATTTTATACCATTTTAATAAAAAAAAAAAATATAATAATAATATGATTAAAATAAAAAATAAAATAGAAAACGAAATAAAATTTGGTGAAAAAAATAAAGCTATAAGAAAAATTTTTGAAGGATAAATTTAATTTGATGATTATTAAAATTAGCAATTAGAATTTTTAAAATAACATATAAAAGATGAAAAATATCAATTAATATATTAGTAAAAAATAAAAGTGAAATATTAAAATTATAACATTATCAAAAGTTGGAACAATAATATTTTATTAAGATTTCTCTACGCAAATTAGTTTAAAATCGAAAAAACATTTAAAACAATAAAACAGCATTAAGAATGGCGTCAATAAACACTTCCAGTTTAATTTAATGACAATATAAAAGACTTTTTAGTAATCTAATTTTATTAAAATAATAATAAAAAGTAAAAAAATAGTTAGCAGGAATTTTTATATACATGGAAGAATTCATAGATTTCGTCCAATGATAGTAATAAATGCCAAAAAGTTAAATTTAAATAAAGCTTTTTATATATATAAAAATTAAATATAATAATTAAATAAAAAATAAAGAAAGAAATTTAAAATTTATTATTACATTCAATAACTTATTTTTTTGAATATATATTAAAATATATTATGCTTCCTGGATAAATTGAGAATTGGGTAGTCCTTTTAGATTTGAATTCTATAGGAATATCTTCTCTTCCTATTTCAGCTTTAAAAACTATTATTAGATATCTTTCTATTAATTATAGAAGTAGAATGTTTGCTACATATGTTATTAATACTCCTAGTTCAATTTTTATTCCTTGGAATATAATCAAAGGTTTTTTAGATGAAAATATTATTAAAAAAATAAAAATTTTCAAAAGATAATTAAGATAAATAATTATTTAAACATACAAATTTGGAATAAATTGAATTAAAATATGATGGAAAAGCTCCTAATTGCAATATTTTTTGGCCTCCTTAATTATAAATTAGTGATTAATATTTTTTAGATTAAGAAAATAGAAATGATTAATTAATAAATGAAAATATATACCATAAATTTTATATGTAAAGTTAATAATTATGTATGTAAAGATTGTTTAAAATGTTAATAAGAAAATTAAAATAATTTCTTTATTACTTCTCATTTCGGATTAAAGATAAAATAAAGGAATAAAAGTAAAAATATAAAATTAGGATTTTTTAAGTGATATTATTTATAAAAAATAATAAAATAGAGACAATTAAAGTGATAATAGAAATATTCTACTAAGTTAAGAGGATGAAAATAGAGAATTAAACATTATTTTTACTAGTAAAATTATTTGTTTATAGATAAATATACATATATATATATATATATATATATATATATATATATATATATATATATATATATATATATTACTATATAATTATAGTTAGTAATTAAAGATTCGGAAAATTTATTATCGAATATTACAATTAACTTTACAATGTTTAATTATGAATTTATAAATAATATTTTTGTTTATTATTATATATATAAAAAATTCACTTTTACATCATTATCATTTTTTAATTACTATATTTAAGTTTATATTATTTTTTGACTGTATAATAATAATTTAAAATAAATATTATTACAATAAAAATAAACCATATATTATTTTTTATAAAATAAATTATTATTAAATCAATTGATTAATACTTCATTAAAAGTTCCATGTTACATTTCCTTATAAATCATAGACAATTCTTCTGTAAAATACCTTACGAAGTTTTTTGCAATAATTGTTTGTATATTTAGATTATTTAAAGCTTATTCCAGGGCTATTTTCCATTACAAAGGTGTTGTAATTCCTATATTATAGACTTACATTCCTGCCTTAAAATCTTAAATTGAATAAATATCATATTCTGAGAATAATGAATGCATAAAAAAAAGTAATAATTTAAACCCTCCTTAATTACTATAAATACACATATCTCCAATTAATGACAAATTATTTCTTTCGTTTGGAAACTTCATAATAAACTATTCAAAACATTCATCTGCTTTCATTATTCGGTCTATTTCATAAATTAGTTTTTCTAAAAACTTAACTCCACCAATTTAAACTAATGGATTTTCCAAAACACCTGCTTTCCAGGCTATTTTTTTCATTTTAATTAAAATATCAGAGTTTAAATTTACAGGCAAATTTCTATACTGGGAAATTTAAGAGAGAATTTGTCCCACCCTTTATATTTAAATAGCGTTCATTTTTAGTTTTTATATTAAAAAGAGTAAATCGAACCTAGAATATCTTTTATAAATAATCTCTTATAGTAAAGAATGGCAAAAATAAGGCAAAATCTCCTAATTATTAGATTCAAAAAAGACTTAATTTAATATTTAATCGCATGAGATTTTCCAATTTATGTCATTATATAATTATTGATATAAATTAGCATCTTCTTACATATAATTAGTGGTTAGAGTTACTAGTATTTTATACCGTGCCCTTTCCAATTATTCAAGAAAACGGAAAATAGCATTTTCTTGAATTTTTTTTGTATTAAATATACACCAAAATATTTCTTTCAAAGAATAATATTCCATTTATGAGAAATCTTAAAAATCGTTTTAAAACTAGTCCAAAATTTGCATATCTGTTTTAAAGTCTAATATATTATTACTGTTAAATATACGTTCTTAGGAACATATTAGAGAAAATATTTGAGAAAAAATTATGTTTTATAATCGTTTTTCATTTCTATGATGTTTAAAGGCATTCTAATGTTTAATTAAGGCAATGCATTTAATATTGCTTTATGTAATTATAAAGTACCACCAAGTTCGTTTATTAAAAAACCTTTTTGAACGATATGTTTTTGATTTTCGGTATGTTCAATAATCGTTTCAATTGCATGATTAGAATAGTTTAGGTTTTTTAGGGCTTAAATAAACATTTATTGAAAAAGGTAAAAATCAAGATTTTATAATTTATCTTCAAGAAACATTTCAGGTGTAAATAGGTTTTTTCTTCTTGGAAAACGAAATATAGAAAATGTGAGTATAATTATTTATTTTTATATCTTAAGAAAGATTTTAAAAGATAATATCAATTAATTTTGGAAGAAAAAAAAATAGGCTTGCCATTGACCTTTTATTATTATTATTATTATTATTATTATTATTATTAATATTATTATAGATATCTCATTATTATTTATTTCATTCTCTCAATATGTTTATTTAATTTAGAAGTACTTTAAATTATTTAAATTTTAGTTATATCTTTAGTTAATTTTTATTTTAAAATTCTTGATTATTATTATACTATTGTAATTTGTTAGCTGTTTCTTTTTTATTTTTTTATTTATTCTAATTATTCTTGCTCAGAATAATTTCTTTTACAGTTTTTTACTTATATTTGAGAATTATTGTTTTCACTTTGAATGATGTTTTTCGCAATTTCTTGCATTTTTTGTTTTTAATCAAATGTAAGTTTAGTATTATCGATATATTCTTGAGCTGTTTTTATTTATTAATAAGAGTTTGTTTGGTTGAATATTTGATTTTAGTTATCAATCAATTCCTTTAGGAATTATGTTTTTATTTCTTAATATTCGAACATATTTATTTATTATTAAATTGGCTATATTTATTATATCTGTGCTTGTATAAATTATTTTTTTCTTGGTTTGTTTAAAATAGATTTTTAAGATGAAATCATTGATAGTTTTTAGAAAACTTTATTTGTATATTTTTTTTTTTAAAGTTAGATAATATTTTGATTTATTTTTTCATTTATCCGTATTTCATTATCTGTAAAAAGTTTATTTTTTGTCCAATCTAATGATTTTATCAAATTTTCGGGGTTTTCTTCATATTTTTCTTCTATTTTAAAAAAATTTATTTTATCTGGTCTGATTTTACATTTGTAAAGAGTTTAAGAAATATTTAATTTTTTTAAATTTTGTGTAATTAATCTTGTGTCAGAATAATATTAATAAAAGTTTATTTTTTTAATTTCTTTGCTGATTTCTTCGATTTTAGCCGGAGACGATTATTATTTTTATCTCAATGATATAATTACATTTTTATTGTTTTTTTCGTCTAAATCTGATAAAAATTTATTCTTTAATTTAAGTTAACGATATGAACTATATAAGTTGTTTTTTAAAAGCTATGTTTGCATTTTTACGCGATCTTGTATTATTAAATTTTATTTTTTCTCTTTTTTAGATTCGTTTTTTATTTATTGGGTATCTTACTGATTTAGTTTGGGATTTAATTAAGGAAGATCTTGTTTTATAGGAAAATCTTAAGTATTTAAAGGATTTAATTTAGGTGTTAAATCAAAAAGGTTTATTTTTTAATTATTCGGCTTAAATGTTTCAAATGAAAAACCAGTTGAATTTGATAATTTAGGAGATTATTTTTATTCCTTTTCTTTTTGTATGTCTTATAATTTTTGAAATCTACTTTTTATAAGTATTTATTATTATTGAGTTTCTTTTTATTTTTGTATTTATGTGAAATCTATTTTAAGAGTTTCGTTTATTTTTCTTATGTATTCTTTTGATATTTAATTAAATTGACCCTTACATAGTTTTGAATACCTTTCTATTATAAATTACGTGAATTTTGTATTTTAAATATTATCTAATTATCTATTATTTTATTATTTTAGCATATTTTTTTTTTTATGACAATATTAAAACTATTAATTATTATTATTTTTTATGGTCGATATTGTTTTAAGTTTTATTATATTTTAATTTATTGATAATTTAATAACTTCTTTATTTATTTCATAAAAATCATAAAATATTTTTTATAAAAATTAATATATTGTTTGATTAAAAATATATTAAAGTTTATTTAATAAATATAAATAACAAAAAATTAATATGAATAATACAATTGATAATTAAATCCTTAATATAATTTTTAAAAAAATAAAAATTTCATTTCATTTTTATAAGACTTTATAATGCCTCTTTTGCTCCACTTATAATTTTTACAAGTTCAATAATATCGTCTAGTAATTCGTTTCTATACATAGCCTCTATTTTAACTTTTGGTCCACATTTAATACAACTTTTATTGTAAGCAGTTTTACATTATTAACAGAAAGAATGCCCACAAGGAATAATAGTAACAGGTTCTTTGATGAATTTTAAACAGTATTAACATTTTAAATTTTTCATTATTTCTACCTTTATTTTTTGTTTTTTTAGAAAACGATAAAATAATATATTTATTAATATAACAATTTACTTCTCCTTTTTCTAATTTATCAACATTTTATTTAAAAATACCCTCCTTTCCTTTTAATCCTGAAATATTTCCAGTAAGCTTAGTTATTTATTCCTTTAAAGAAAAAACTTGTTCTTTTAATTAATCTTATTCATTTAAATGTAAGTTTTAAGATTACTTTTCAATTAAAAGTTAATTATTTAATTTAACTATTTAGTCTTCTTTTTTTTAAATATACTATTTTAAACTAGCTAATTCCTCATTTTTATCTGTTATTTCTTTTTAGAAAGTCTCTATTTAAATTGTTTTTTATTTAATATGTTCCTATTTTAAAAAATTTGTTTTATATATTTTTTTTTAATTATAATAAAAAAATACTTATTTTTCATTTAATTTTAATTCCATATCATTTTAAATTTATTCGTTTAATTATTTAAGTTTATCAATGCTAGTTTGTTTAAGCTTTTCGTCAGATATATTTTTTTTTGTGGCTTCTAATTAATCTTTAACTAATTTTTATTCTTACCGAAGATTTTCAACTTCTTAAATAGAATTTTGATATTTTTCTTTAAAAAGAGCAGTTTTTTATCTCAATTCTAGATTTTCGCTTGTAATATTTTATTTTTCTTTTTCTTAAATTTTAACTTTTTCCTCTAATTAGTTTTTTCTTATTTTATATTAATGATATTTTCTTACAAATTTTTTATTTATTTTTGAAATTCTGAGCTAATTTTACTTTATTCCTGTATTATTTTTTCGAAATCGTTAAATTTTTTAAGATTCTCTAGAATTTATTTTTCGTTTTCTTAAATTTTTATTTCTCTTTCTTATATTTAGGCTGTTTTTTCCTTATCTAAACTTGCAATTTTATTATGCATTTCGTCTATTTTTTAATTAGACTATCTTAATCTATTTTATATTTTGTCGTTATTTTCTTATAGTTTTATATGTTATTCTGTTTTAATATGAAGGGCCGTCTTTTCATTTTAAAGTTCTTATTTAATCATAAAAAATCTCTTTTCTAAATCTTCTATTATTTAGTTTCTTGATTCGATTTATGATTAATGATCTTCTAGTTTGTTTGCAAATTCTTTAATAAATTTTTTAGAAGAAGCAATATTAGTTTGTAAAGAATTTCGTTTTTATAAACCTTAGGCTTAGTTAATGGCTTAAGAAATTTTAAAAGGATTTATTGAAGATGATTTTAAAAATTTTTAATTTGAATTTTCAGTTTTAATTGGGAGATCAGGCAATATATTTGATTTCATTTTTTTTGTTTTTTTGTTATTAAAAATGAAAAAAATTATTATATTTAAAAAGAAGTTAAATGTATATAATTGTATATATTATATATTTTTTTTTAATAAAAATAAATAAATAATTTTTATTTTTAAGATTAATATATATATTAAATAAAATAATGAATTATAATTATAATTATTATTAATAGATTTTACGAAATTAGTATTAGATTTCAAGAAATAATTAAAACTAATTAGATTAGATTGGTTATAGTCCAAATTAATATTAATTTAATTAAATAAACACATCGCAATAATAAAATAATTAAGAATTAAATAATTAATATTTTAACAATATGAAATCAAAAACTAGTTAAAGAAAATTATCTAATTAATCGAATAATTCAAGTAATTATTAATCTTCTCATTCTAGTTATTTGAATAATAAAAGTTCTTTAAGTTAAAAGTCTTCTAGTTAAAAATCTTCAAGTTAAAATCTTCTAGATCATCTTCTAAATCTTATAAATCGTCTGATTCAGAATAATAAAAAAAAGATGACGAATCTGAAAAATCATATATTAGTGAGTAAAAAGAATAAAATAATAAACATTATATAGCAGATAATTGTGAGAAAATATTACAAAAAATTAATGAAATTAACAAAAATACAGAAAATATACTATAAGAATTTTTAGAATAATTATCTTTTTTAAAAAATTGATTTAAATAATTAACAAATATATGTATAAATAAAAAACAAGAATTTTATAAAAATTAAAAAAAATTAATTATTTAATAAAAAATTATAATAAATAAAAATTTATTTGTAAAAAAATAAAAATATGGAAGTTGAAGAAAAGAAAAAAACAATAGATGATTTTGTAACAAAAGTAGTTTTAGGAAAAGGTACATATGCGAAAGTAGTTCTCGTTAAAAAAAAAGATAATAATAAATACTATGCAATGAAAATGATAAAAAAGGAAAAACTTCAAAAATAGCGTTAAATAGACAACGTTTTAATTGAAAGAAATGTTTTGGAAGGAATGAATCATCCATTTATAATCAAGCTTTATTATTCTTTTTAAACCTAATATAAATTTTATTTTATTTTAGAATATTGTCCTGGAGGCGAACTTTTTAGCCTATTAAAAAAATGTTAAGTTTTTACAGAAGATTAGTATATATAATATAAAAATAAATATATATTAATAAATATTTACATATTTTAAAAAAAGAACAAGATTTTATATAGCATAAATAATAGTTGCATTAGAATACTTACATTCGAATGATATAATATATAGAGAGTAAAAAAAAAGATATATTATATTTAGATTTATATTTATATAAAAATATAAATATATATTTATATATATATAATTATATATTTATATGTTTATAAATTTATATATCTTTTTATCAAAATAAAATTAAATAATATATATAAAAATTAAGTCTTAAACCAGAAAATGTTATGATTGATGTTGAAGGATATATTAGAATAACTGATTTTGGCCTTTCTAAAAATAAATTAGAAGGTGATAAATTAGCTTATTCTATTTGCGGAACACCTGAATATATGGCTCCTGAATTATTAAGATAAGAAGGATATGCTAAACCAGCTGATTGGTGGACATTAGGTTTTTTTCTTTTAACTTATGATTATTTATTATTTTTAAAATTTTTTAATAAATTATATAGGAGCATTAGTATATGAATGTCTTACAGGTACTCCTCCTTTTTATTTATAAAACTAAGCATAAATGTTTTAATAGATATTATCTGCATAATTATAATTTCCTTCTTATTTATCAAATAATTGTATCAATTTTATTGATGGATTATTATAAAAAAATCCGTAATAAAGATTGGGATATAATGGAGCTCATGAAGTTAAGTAGCATCCATGGCTTATGAATATTAATTGGGATATTCTTTTGAGTAAATAATATAGACCCCCTTTTATTCCTGTAATTGATTAAGACTTCGGATTGTCTTATTTTGATGATTAATTTAAAAATATGCCTGTTGATTCTTGGACTAATTCTATCAAGGATGGCCCTGGCAGAAATGTGGAAGGTATTTTTTTATATATATATTTTTTTTTATTAAATTTTTTAAGGATTTACTTACATTAATAATGAAAATACTGAAGAATTGTGATTAAATTAATAAACTTTTGAAAAATAATATAATAAATTTTAATTGAATTTTTTTTTTAAATATTAACTTTGTAAATTTTTTAATAAAAACTAAATATTTATATAATAAATAAATATATTTATAATTAACATAAATAAATTGTTTATTAAATTTATTTAATTATAAATTATTTTTATAAAAAATATTTTAAAAGTCATAATATTAAAAATATTTTTATCAAATAAAGTAATAATATTAATTATAGATAATAAAAATAGCATATATATAAAGTAAAAAACTTATTTAATTTCATTCTACGACTCTAGATTATCTAATTTATTTTAATTCACTTTTTCTTCTTTTTTAATTTACTCTTTACTGACCTATGTTAACTAATTCCCTTGGAATATACTAATATTCGCCTTTTAAAGGAATACTAACTTTATAAACCATGTCTTTAAGTTTTTAAATAGCTTCAGTTAAGTTTTCTTCTTAAGTTTTTCCTTTATCTTTTTTCATTACAAAAATTTCATCATTAATAAAATATTATTAAAATTAGGATTTGAATCTTTCTTTAGCTTTATCGTTTAAAAAAAAATTAGCTTCATTAATATTAAATATAATTTCAGCATTGTTTTTAACTTTCTAATCTTCTTTTCCTGTAAATTTAATTTCTAATTATTCTAATGGTATTTAAATTTAATTTTTTCCAATTATAGAAGTTTACATTTTTTAATTATATTTAATTATTTGTAATCTACGTTTAAAATATTCTTTGTTTTAATGTTAAACTAAGAAATCATCTATGCTTTAAAAGTATTTAAATTTTCTAGTGAATTAATAAGCAATTTTATTAAACATATTTTTGTTTATTTTATATTGTTATTTTTTATAAAAATATTATATAAAAATTAATTGAAATAATTAGTTATTAATGAAAAAGTCATATAATTTATGGTTATAAAATAATTATAATATAATAAATATTTATATATATATAATATTTTTTATATTTTTTTTATAATATTTATTTTTATTTAATATTTTTTTTGTTTCATTTTTTTTCTATATTCTTAAAGAAATAAATACTATTAATATATAAGAGATAATGAATTTATAATATATATAGAATTTATATTCATATAATATATTATAATTTTTATAATAAATTAAATTATAATAATATATTTTTTAAATATAATTTATATTTTATATTAAATATATAAATTATTATACTATATATAAATAAATAATACTTTATTAATTTACTATACTTAATAAACATAATAATTATTTAGCAATAAAAATATAGTTTTTTTTTATTATAAATCATATACAATATAAATATTTTATAATTAATTATATTATAATTACCTTATATAATATATGTAATTTTGATTTTCATCTATAATTAAAAATTAGTTTTAGAAATTTATAAATTAATTAATAAAAATAAATATACTAATGTAAAATTTTAAAATATATTACATATTTTATCCATATTTATTGATATATTTTATTTTTTGAATGTCAGATTTAAGTATAATTTAATTTTAAATTAAAAATGTATTCTTATAAAATATAATATTTTACAATTAATATTATTTATTACTTTAATAAATTTATGTTTAAAATATATAATTTAAATTATAGATATTAGTTTTATAATATATTAAGATAATTTTAATGATCGTAAATTCATTTAAATTTCAATCTATTAATTTTAACTTCGTTATCAAAATTATTTATAATACTATTATTATCATTAAATAAACCATCAATTTTTTAAAATATTGATAATTATCTAGAGTGTACCTGAGTATGTGTTTGTTTGAAAAAAAATAAAAGCATAATAAAATAAACTAATATTAATTAAAAATATTATTCAATGAAGATAAACGAGTAAAAATCATAATTTATTTATATTATTAAAATTATATTTGGAATAAAATAAAAAATAAATAAATATTAAATAGAGATTTTTCTAATTTCCGTAATATTTTTATTTTAAAGTAAACTTAAAAAAATTTTATATTAATAATTTTAATTTTATAAATATTTTATTTTTAATCTTTATATTTGATTTTATTTTTCAATTTCATTAAAAAAATGAAATTATATTTTAAGATTATATTTAAGGTTTTTTTTGTTTAAAAAAAAAATTAAATTGATTATATAATGTAATATAATATTTTTTTAAAAAAAAGAATCATACAATTTAAAAAAACATTTGCATTACGACTCCTATTTTTTATGTTAATTCTAAACCACATATAGGCCATTTATATACTTTGATCTTATCTGATTCATTCAGAAGATGGAAAAAAATAGATAATTATAATACATTATTTTAAACTGGTAAATAATTTAATATTAAAATATTTTTAAATAAATATGGAATTTAAATAAAAAAGGAACTGATGAACATGGATAAAAAATATAAAATTCAGCATTAAAAGCCTAGTAAAATCCTTAATAATTTGTAGATGAAATAAGCCAAAGTTTTATAGAACTTTCGAAAGAATTCTCAATATAATACGATGTATTCAATAGAACTTCGAGCGGTTTATTCTATTATTTTTAATTTTTAAATTAAAAAAAAAAAATTATTATGTTACAGATGCACATAAAAATGCTGTTTAAAATCTTTGGAATAAACTTGAAGAAAACGGATATATTTAAATAAGTAATTTTTATTTAAGAAAAAAATGAAAAAATAAAATAGAAAAATATGAAGGCTGGTATAGTGTTACTGATGAAGCATTTATATCTGAAAAAGATTTAATAAAAGATTAAAATGAAAATTTAGTAAAAATTAAATTATTTTTAAAATTAATAAAAAATTAGATAACAAAAGAAACAAATCAACATGTAAATTGGGTATCAGAAGAAAACCACATATTCTGTTTAGAGAAAATAAAGGAAAGAACAAAATAGTATCTTTAATAAAACCGTCCAATTCATCCCGATCACTCAAACACCTATACAATAAATTAATTAGAAGAAATGAGTGAAATATCTATTAGTAGACCATTTAGTAGGCTCTAATGGGGCATAAAAGTTCCTTAATAAGAAAACTTTACAATATATGTATGGCTTGATGCCCTTACAAATTATTTAACAGGAGTTGGATTTCCTGAAGAAACAAAATAAAGTTATATTGATAATTTTTATCATATAATAGGTAAAGATATAGTAAAATTTCATGCGATTTTTTGGCCCTCTTTTTTATTGGCATCAGGTTTAAAAACGCCTAAAAAAATAATCGTACATTCACATTGGATAAAAAATAATAAGAAAATGAGCAAAAGTATAGGAAATATAGTTGATCCTTTCGAATTGAAAACAAAATATGGATAAGAATGTATTAGGCTGTATTTTTTAGCCGAAGGTCCATAAGATTTCGATACTAACTTTGATGAAATTGATATGTAAAAGTTATTTAATTTACATGTAGAGAATTATGTTAATCTTATTTCTAGAGTTGTTAATCCAAAAATTATTAAAGGGGGACTTATTGAAAATATTTAGTGGAGTTTGGATGAATAAGATGTTTAGTATATTAATTCTTTTATTTAAATTGTCTAAAAAATTACAAATTTATTTAATAGTTGTGATTTTAGAAGGGGATATATTCATATTTATGAACTCTGTTCTCTTACTAATAAATTAGTTAGCGAAAGGGCGCCTTGGAATAAATATTTAGATTAAATTAGTAAATAAAAATGCTCCTTTTTAGCACTTGAAAGTATAAGAATTTTAGGAATTTTACTTTATCCATATATTCCTGAATATACTTTGAGTATTTATAAAGTTTTGAATATTGATATGAAATATATTAATAGTGAATTTTTGTAGTTTAGAAGTTTTTAGTTTTCTGGAGATATTAATGGAAATTTTAACTTTAACAATGATAGTAACTTTTTAAAAATTTGTTTGGAAGAAAAAAATATATTTTTAGAAATAAATTTGTTTTTTGAATTTTTTTATATATTGTAATAAAATTTACTTAAAAAATTATTATTTTTTTAGTTTTATAATTATAAAAAAAAAATATATAATATTTTTTTTGGATAAATATATATTTATTTGTTTATAAGTAAAAATAGGAAAGTTTTTTAAATATATTGAATAATGAAATCATTAATAATTTATATATTATTTATTTTTAAACTAGTGTTTTAAGGTTAAGAAATTAATATTTTTTTTTTGAAAATTAATACATAAATTTTTTAAAAAAGGGAAAATAATTCCTTTAGAAAATGCAATATATGCATCAATCACTAATAGGAATGAAATTTCTAATTATATATTTAATTTATAATTAGATGAAAACTAATTAGAAGAAGGAGATACAATAGAAATAACATTTCCAAATAAATATATAGAAGAATTAGGAATTCCATTAGTTAATACTAATACTTGTAACTACATATGCACTTTATAATCTCGAACAATAATATTTACAATTAGCAATTAGATATAAAAAAATACGCGTATATTTTATTAAAATTTTATTTAAAAAAATAAAATAAAAAATTAGCTATATAGTTATAACTAAATTAAGTTCTAAATCCAAGTACAGCAGGAGGTTCGGGAAACTTTATAATCCGTGTAAAAAAAGGATAAATGATATCTGATGAAAATCTTATATTCGGAGATATAGGCATATCAAGTAAAATTATCCTTCTTCCATTTACAAAAGTATATATGGACAACAATTCGGCAGGAGAAAAGACTTTTTATTATTTCGAATTTAAAACTTCAGTTTCTTTTCCAAAAGAATCTTATTTAAATATTGTTTTTGATCTAAATGCAGGCTTTTCCTTTTCAGCTGTATAAAATAAAATCACTTGTGAGGCAATTTAAGTAGCTGGATATACTATTAATGCTTAGTTTATTTGTGTAGTTTCCGGGTAAAACGTTGTTTAAGTTACTGGGTTTGGCGATTATGTAACTAGTGAAACTGAAATCGGATTAAAAATGGAAATTATTAATCCAAAAAATTCACAAACTACGAAAGAGTTTACAATTTCTGTACATAGGTTTGGCACTTAGACTGTTTATACTTGGAGAAATAACATTCCTGGTGTCTATATTAAACCAGGAAATATTATTAATGGTTCAGTTTAGTCACTTGTTGCTAATGCAGTTATTAGCAAAATGAAAATTATGGATTATATATTTAAATTTACTCCTTAAAACGTAATAAAGGTAGGATAAAGAATTGTTATTGATTTACCTCCTAATTTAGAGATAATTAATAGTAAAAAATATATACCTATTTTTATTTTTAATAAAATAAAAAAAAGATACTTCTTATGATTTTGTTTATGCCGCATAAGGATTATTAAATGAGAAAGATAAAGTAATTTAATATAAAGTAAATACTGCTAATTAATTAGAGATTCTAAATTTTTCAAAAGACTCTTCAAAATCAGAAATTATAATACATGTAAGATTAAAAAATCCCGATTAAAAAGATACTACAGACTAAATACAAGTAAGTATTTATGAAGGAGTCCTCTTAATTGATTAAGGTTTTATTGGAAATATTTTTGTATAAAACAAGCCATCTTAAATGCCTTTAGGAGTTAATTTATAAGCTGCTAATGGATAAAATGTAGCCAACTTTAAATTCAAAATTTAATTAAATGCATAGCTTTAAAATAATTAATAAATAATACTTATTTTGCATTCTGATTTTACAATTTCAGCACTTTCTAATGGAGACTGTAAATTAAATGGAGTAGTTTCTACTTGCAAAAGTACTGAAAATCAAATATAAATAATAAATTCAAGTGGAATATCAGCAAATATAGTAGAAGTAGAAATACTAAATAAAATAAAAAAACCTAAATAAACTACTCATGCTTATTTATTTGACATTACAATAAAAAATAGCGCAGGGAACGATGTAATCTAAAGCTATTCAGAGTATATTATTATGATTCCTGATAGTATTATAAGCCAAGACATAAAATTATTAACTAGGAATTAAAGCTTTGAATCAAAAACTGTACTTTAAATTTCATTTATTTTATAGGCAAATATCGAAGGGTATTCTGAAAGCTTAAATACTGATTTCGGGTTTATTTTATTTTAAATTAGTTAAGGTAATTTCGATTTTTCGGATTTAACTTTGAAAGATAATTAAATTATTCCTTGTATTTTCGGAAAATCTTCAGAAATGTAAGCAAGCCCAGGATATTAGCTTGAATGTAGATATAAATCTTTATCTTAAAATTAATTTAAAGGCCTTCTAATTAGAGGATTTGCATCAACTTAGGTAGGTAAACGTGTTTTTATTTATGTTCCAAATGTATTTGTACAATCTGGAGTAGGATCTATAAAATATGTTGTTTTTACAGGAAAACAAAACAATTTAAAACAATATTTTACCTTTTTTACTTAAGAAATAACCTAAATGTTAACTTTAAATGCTTCTGTTAAACATGAAGAAAATTTGTTTTTTTCTTCTCCAAATAATTAAATATAAATTAATTAATAATTCAATTTGGAATATACAACTACACATTCTTTACTTAAAGGAAGTTTAATTTACGTTTTTTTACCACGTTATGGATAATTTAAGTTGTTATAAAAAAATTTAATAAACAAATGTTCATTATATGGAGTAGCTAGTAACAAAGAAAATACTTGTTATCTTTTTTATGAACTTGATTAATTAATTATTGAAGTAAAACTATTTTATTATAAAATAAAAAAATATATATAAAGACTGACAATAGTTGGCCTAATGGATCAACACCAGTTATTACAGTTTTTAATTTACTTTATCCTCCTTATTAGTCTTCTACTTTAAATGTAATGGAATGGTATAAATTGAGTCCTATAGATGCTGAATATGGAGTTTATTTTAATAGTAATTTTTCATCAGGAAATGTAAAAGGTTTCATAATTACTTCACTTTCTGTAAATAAGCCAGGAGCTAAATATGTCGGAGTTTACTATGATTTTACTTTAAGTACTTAAGATATAATTCCTTAAAACGGATGCATAAATATAATATTTCCAACTTAATATAATTTATAAGGGAGTGTTCCTTAACCTATTGTGGAGTAAAGAAATAATTATTTTTAAAATAAGATATAAGAAATAAAATATGAAATATAAAAAAATGTAATAAAAATAACCATTCCTTAAGTTTAAAATGCTAATTCTGAATTTTATTTAAGAGTATAAGGAGTCAAGAATCCATTAGTAGAAGGACAATCGTCGGGAGATTTCCGAATAATAACTTATACTTAATAAGGAAATAAAATAAATGAATCAAATTTGTTCGGTTCTTTTATCGTTAAAGATGAGTTTTCTCCTTCCTATATTGTTTTCGAAGGAATTTCTGCTTTTCCAATAAATGTGAATTAAATTGCTGATTATACTTTTAAGTTCTCTTTGTAGTAGTCAATGTCCAAAGGGTCTATTATATTTATAAATTTTCCTTCTAAATAATATTTATAGATATCTAATTCTCCTAAATGTAAAGTTTCTGGAGGTTTAAAAGGCTTCTAATAATGTCAATTTGAAGGTTCTTACATAAAAATAACCACTTATAATGATTATGAAGCTTAACAAAACATAATAGTTTAGATTTTCGAAATTTTTAACCCTTCTCGAATAGGTTAATCCGAAGAATTCAATATATTTATTTCTTATGATGGCTAAAAGATATTTATAACTGACGAAAGCACAAATAAAAACCGATACTTGACATTTTATGATTCTGGGAAAACTTTAGATATCCAATATATAGATTTTTATCCTCGAAACGAGGCTGAAAATGCATTTTATATATTCCGCTTCGTACCAACTAGTATTTTGACATCTGCTAATTAAATAAATATTGAATTTCCAGAAGTATATGATGATTATTTGTCAAGAAGATTAGTTACTTGTGTTTCTACCAAAGGGTTATATAGTCAAATAAAGTGTACTTTGGAAAAAAGGAAAATCATTATTTCTGGAATAACTAATTATATTCCTTCTTAATAGAATCCTATTGAAATATAAATAAATAATATAATTAATCCAAACAAAATAAATAACCAAAATACAGGTATTTTTCGAATTTCAACATCTTTAGTTGTTTAAAGTGACTATTTTTTAGATTATAATAATAATTCAGTAATTTTAGAGACTTACTATTCACCTGGGCTTGCTATTTTTTATAATGTTACATTATCAAATAACTTTTGTAGGCAAAAAGCTACCTATAATTTTTAAATTTAGACTTTTAAATATATCCCAAAAAGCGATTCTAAAGGACTTATCCTTGTTTAATTTCCTTCAGAATATGACATTCCGGATAAAATAGTAAAATGTTTAAGTACTCATCCAGCTTTTTCTAGTATGAGTTGTTTTTCTAAAAATAACTATGTTTTTATTTCAGGAAATACAGAAGATGTTAACGGAGAAATTTTTTTTACACTTATAGATATTGAAAATCCGGACAAAGTTTCATAGCCAGGAAAAATTCTGGTTTTTACTTTTGATGGATTTAATTAAAATACTTTGGAAAAAAGTTATCTAAATCTCGATCCTATAGATAATACTTTTATTTATAATGGACCCCTAATTAAACTTAATAATGAGGAAATTGTAGAAATAAGTGGTGGAACTATGAGTTCTTTCCTTAAAGTTTCTATAGATTACCCATGTTTATTTGACTTGACCATTTAACCTACTTCTAAAGGTGAATTTAATATTATTCCAACTTAAATAATACTCAAGAAAGGATAAAAGGAAGCTTTTTTTAGAATTTCAGTTCCTGAAAATACTAATGTGGGTGATTATTATATATATTGGGAAACTGTAGGGGATTTGTTAATTCCTTATTATGCCCCTATAAAGAAATTGATAGTTAGAGTAATAAATAATAAAATAAATTTAGTAAAAATAAGCAGCTTAAATAAAATTCCATATTAAGGAACATCTTTAGATATATTATTTTCATTAGAAAATTCTCCACATAAAGATATTTTGATAAAAGCCGATTTCGAATCTGAATATATTGGCGTTTTCTTATCAACAAATAATATTTTATTTAAAGCAGGAGATACTCAAAAAATATTAAGAATTAATTCTATTTCTACTAACGATGAAAACTATACAGAAAGAGGAGTTGTTATTTTAAATTTGTAAGGTACAAACAGATTATCTTTTTCTTTACAAACGATATTTTTGGATTTTTAGCTTGAAAAATAAACTGAAAGCGCACCAAAAATAATTAGTTTGAATGAAATAACTAATTTAAAAGGTTAAATTAGTGTCTGTTTGGAAACTTAGTGTGATATGATTTGTATTATTTTCTATTCAGTAGGGTTAAAAGGGACTAAAGTTCCCCCAATTTAAGAAATTTTGGAATAAGGACCGCCAACGGCACTTACTACGGAATCTTTTTATGGAAAAGTTATACCTAATTCAGGAGATTCGAAAGCATAAATAAGTATAACAGGCTTAACAGCTGGAAGTGCTTATACAATATTCGTATTAGCCCAAAATAGAGGATATTTAATCAGCGAAATTAAAACTTTAGATATTTAAACAAAGCCTAAATATAGAACTGCTTCTTTTATAGTTCGTTTTTTGAAAGAATCAATGAATTAAATAGAACTAAGAGTTGCTAGAAGAATGATCGCTTTTGTTTTAGCTGTTGATGAAAATTAGTAAAAAAATTTCACAAAAAAAAAAAATTAAATTTAAAAATATAAAGGGTAATTTCTTTAAATTAAAATACTTAATTAAGCAGAAATAGGTAATTGAGTAATACTTATACAGATTAAACTTTTTTTTTGGTTCCTGATGATAAGAGTTCTAATTTCGATTCGCCTAAAGATATGATTAATATGCTTAATGGTAAATTTAAAAGTGAATTATAAAAAAGATTGTTGAATTTTGATGCTTCCTTTACTATTTAAGTAAATGATATTCCTATTAAAATTCCCTCATTAAAAAAAAACCCTACTATTTTGGAAAAAACAAGTAAATAAGTTATAATTTAAGTAAGTGCAAATGAAGACCTTTATGTTTATGGAATTTTAACTAATGCAAATTAACCGGCACCAGATTGTAATTAAATTTATAAAAAATTAAATGCTTTTAATATTGAAGCAGTTAGTGCAAATGATTATGTGCGATAAAATAGTTAGTAAAAACTTATATTTGAAAATTTGGTACAGAAGACATAATACAAAGTATATCTAACTGTTGGGTCTGATACTCCGGGATATCCTGATTTAAAGAGTAATTTGTATGTTTTAGATGTTGAAACAGATGAAGATTAAAGCATAATAGTTGAAACTATATATTAAGAAATAATTTAATTTTTTGTTTGCTTTTTAATTTTTATTTTATTTTTATGAAATAAATATTATTTTTTATTAAAAAATAAAGCTTATTATTTTATTTTTTTACATATAATAAAATAAAACTTTTAATAATTAATAATTTAGTAAAATATTTTTTAAATTTTAAAGAATTAAAAATAAAAATATTTATTACTTTTAAACTTAGTATATTAATGATATAAATATTGCTAAAATCTCCAATAAAACAGTTAAAAGAAAATTAATAATTAATAAAAAATTATTAAAGATAAATATTGACATAAATAAATACACATCTTTCAAAAAAATAACAGTTAACAATTCTTCTTTTCAAAATGATAAAACGAAATATTTATTATTCAATCTAAGAAATATATATATATATATATATATATATATTTAAAATTAAAAAAATTAGAACTAAATAAATATAATCTTATATATAAAAAAAGTTAAATATTAAATATAATATTTTATAATTATCATATTATTTGATCTAATAATTTGTTTTTTTTTACATAATCTTTTAATGCCATACCAATATTTCTTTTTAAAAATTTAATTTCTTATTCAAAATTACTACTTTATTCTTCATTTAAATTTTAATGATTAATTATTGAATTATTTTTATATATAAGTTATTCATCATTATCATCTACATTTTAAGCAATTAATTTATATTTTTCACTTTTTTCCAAGAAATAATTTTTCTTAAACGAATTTTTATCTAATTATTTAAAACTAAATATATTTGAAGATTTGTTTTAATCATTTTTGTTTTAAATTTCCTATTTTTATTCTTCTTAAAAATTATCATTACTATTATTATAATTTTTAGATTTATAATTTGCTTCATAATTAATATAATCTTAATATCTTTCTGCTTCCTATTCATCAAAGTATCTATCAACAAATTTAAGAAATTATCTTCCTTATCTGATTCTAATTTAAAAGGCAATACAATTGTTTGGAGTTTTCTTTAGTTTCGCTATATTTTAAACATCTTAAATTTAATTATTATTAGTTATACTGTATTATTGATTTTATAATTATTATTTAGATGCATTATTTTTGAAATCCTAATTCGAAATGCTTTGGCTATATTATTAAGAATTAAATATTTAAGGCTAAGCATTTATTAATTATTACTTTTAAGTAAATAAATTTGGGTTTTATATAATCAAATTATTTTCAAAATTTAAAATTTTATCAAATTTAAATTAACTTTGATTTAAATCAATAAAAAGACTGACAATATATGAAGCTAGTTCTTAATTATCAGTTTGTATATTTTACAAAGATTTCATAGGTTAAGAATTATTGTTTGATTAAAATTAAGAAATTGATTGTTATTTTTGTAAATATTATGATTATTATTGCTGTAATTATTAACTTTATTGCTATGATATTTATTTTTATTAATCTTTTTGTCCACTATTTTATTCATTTTTTAATTATTAAGAATTATTTAAATGTTATATATTATTTTGTTTTTTATCTTTTTTAATTCTAATTTATTCGCTATATTAATTTTCTTCTTCTTTCTTTATTTTTTTTCTTATTTTTTCTTTACATTCTTCATTATTTATCAAATCAAATTTATTATTTGATATTATTGGTAATTTTAAAGTTATAGTGTTGCTTTGTTAATTGTCTATTTAATTAGATTAAGAATTTATTTTTTATTTTTTATCTTATTTTTTTTATTCATGTTTTGATATTTTATCTGATTCTTTTTTATTATCTTTTGATATATTTTTTTTTATTATTATCAAATTAAAATCATTATTTGCCTTTTCGTTTTACTTATATTTAATAGCTGGCAATTCAATATTTATTTCGTCTTTTTTGTTATTATCATTAACTTTTTGATGATTTGTTCTCTTTAGTCCTTTTATAACTATTTCTGTTTTTTATTTTTAAATAAGTATAGTTAATAAATATTTTTTAACTTTTATGATCATATTAGTTAGTTGAGTTATTTATTAAAGAAGATTAGGCTTTCAATTATAAAAATTCATCTTCTATAATTTATTTTTATTTTTCAAAATCCTTAATATTTTCAAAAAAGTCATTTTAAAACCACAAACATGAATTTTTTTCAATTTTATTAATTTCATTAAAAAATCCAAAAAAACTTAATTTAACTAAAGTACATTTTAATTATTCTCTTAATTTAATAAAACCCTAAATTTATTTATATTTTGCTAATTCCTCTTTAAATTAAAGAAATCTTACGCATTATTCTTCATCATTTTATTTTTATGATTTTCTTAGTTTCATTTTTTCTGCTACTCTTGGCCTAAAGGCAACATGCGGATCTTTATCATTAAAACTTGGTTTACAATTAGCTCTATTTCAATTATAAAATTAAAATAATTTATTTTTTAAAAAATACCTTAACAAAGGTCTTTTTATTAATTCTCTTTCTGATTTCCAATAATTATAAATTTATTCGATATTATTAAAGGAAAATTTATCTTTTATATCTTTAAAAAGTATTAATTTCATATCAATCCAAGCTATAATTGAGTCTTTTCCAGAATTAGATTCAAAATCAATAATTAATTACTCAAATTCGGATTATTTTAAATTTGATTAATTTTATTCATTGAAATCCTTTATAAAAATTAAATCTTTGTCTGTAGATTCGTATTTATTTTACTATTAACAATAAAATTCTAATGTTGTTTTTATATAATTTTGAAAATTATATTTTTTCCTCTTTTAAATTTACTCTAATTCAATAGTTTTATTATTTACTTGAATATTTGTTATTGCTATTATGGGTACTTCTTATTTTTTAGATACTTATGTTTGTAAATTATTGTCATTTTCATTTTAATGAAAATCTTTAATATAAACTCCTAGATTTTCTGTATCAAAATTTAAAAATTCCTCTAAACTATTTAGTTTTGTTGTTAATCTTTAATAATCTATTTATCTTGGTCTTTTTATAATAGTTGCCATGATATTTTCTTTATATTTATGATTTTGTCAAAAGTATATTTTTTTTTTCAATAAGAAAATTATATTTTAAAATTATTTAAAATTTAAGTATGATTCAAAATAAAATATTTTTTTAAAATTAATTTTATTTTATTAAATATATAATATTTTTATATATTTTTTTATATTTTTGTTTCATTAATAATTTATATTTTTTATGAAAAACACTTAATATTTAGATCAGTCTTATTAATTTAATAAAAATAACTTTTAATGAAAAATTTGTTTTATGTTTTAAAAAAATATTTATAATTCATTAATTTAAAAACGAAAATAAAAAAATATATTATTAAATATTAATTTAATTAATTAAAATAATGAAATATACATTTTAAAAATTACACAACAAAAATAAATATAATTAATGAAAGATATTAGAAAATTAAATAATTATTAAAATAAATAAATTACTATTTTATCAATATTATTTCAAGTAATATTATATATTATTAAATATGATTTATTTTTTTATATTTTAGAGATATTATAATGTAATTTTATAATTATTATTTTATATTGTAAATAAGTAATAAAAATATTTATTTTTTAACATAATTTTTAAATTAATATTTTTATTTAGACTTTTTTAAGAATATCAATAATAAAAATTCAAACCTGAATATATTAGTATGTAAATACAAAAATATACATTTATTTAATATCAAAGGATTATTCTTTAATAAATATATATTTTACATATATTTTTATTTAAGAAAAGTTTAATTAAATATTCTGAATATTTTATATATAATTTAATTTTAAGTATACTATTAAATTATATATTTTAAATTTTTAGCATAGAATATAATTATTTGTTTAATTTTTTATTTATATAATATATAGAGAAAAATATTTATAATATATTCAAAAAATTTTTAAAAATAAAATATATTTAAATATTTATATACTTAAAATATATTTAAATAATTATTAATTAATTAATAATATATAAGTATTTAAAAAAAAAAATTAAATACAAATAAATGAGCAAATAAATAGAATTAAAATAAACAATTGACTTAAATAAACAAATAACAACAAAATATTAAAAAAATGCATCTTAAACTGATTAAAATAAATAAAAAAATGAAAAATAATTGTCCATATTAAATTTTACAGTAGCATTAGATTTATTAATGCTTAAAAAATCCTCTATTGAATAAGCATATTTAATGATTTTAGTATGCTTTTTCGTATTGAATATATCAAGTTTGCATAAATATAATGATTTTCTAATATCTTAATATAATTTAAAATAAACTAATTTAAATGAATTAATTAATATAGTGAAATACTTAGATATTTTATATTTATTATCAATGTCTTCTACATCATATCTAATTGTATTAATATTTTCCGTTTTTTATTTTTTAATGCTATTTTTATTATTTCTAATATGCTTTTTAAAAAAATATATTAATACTTAAATAAAACCCAGAAAATATTTTTTTGGGAGATGGTTTGTTATTTTAGGATAGTTATTTAATTGGATTCTTTTTATGCCTTTAATAATCACTTAAATGTCTTATCTATTTTGTTTAGAGGATATCTTTTCTCAAATAAAAATAATCTGTAGTAGTTCTTCAGTCTATTTTTATATTTCTATAATAGGACTTTTTTTTGGAATTTTAGATATGTGGTATTTAGGAATTTTTTTTTTTAATTCAGGAAATTAAAGTAAAAAAGATGCTTTAGCTTGCGATTATTCAATCAATTTGTTAAAATTTGATTTTTGTCGATTTATTATCAGTATTTTTGTGTGTTTTAAATTTTAAAGTTATTCATATTCTATCTTTTATATTTTTTTGAATAATTTAATATCAGGATATTTAGTTTATCTATTCTTGTTTGCAGACGGATTGTTTACTTTCAAAAATAAATAAATAAAAGATTTTTTTTAAATACAAATTATTATTTATTTTGCTAATTAAATTAGTTAATTATTTGATCAAACAACAAGGTAAATAATTAAAAAACTTTTTTATTTTATATATTAATGTATAAAAAGGGCTTTAAAAATTTACAACCTTGATTCAGAAAAAATTTTATATTATCTAATTTTTAATATATTCATTTTAGTAATATTATTTAAAAAACTATAAAAATACTAGATAATAAAGCACCTTAAAGAAATATAAATATATCCAAATACATTTAACGATATTCGAAAGAAAATATATCTCTTCTCATAATTCATGAATAATTAATAGGAAGCTATTTATTCAGATGCATATTTCAAAGGAATGATATTTAGTCATTTAAATTCTGATTGTAATTTTAATTAATAGTAATATTAATGTTATTGTAAATGCAAAAATATATATGATTCAAAAAAGAATAAATTAGTTAATTGTGATAAATATTTATAAAATATAAATAGAAATGTTTTATGCAAATTTTTTATTAAAAATTGGATTGAATCCTATATTAATAAAAATTATAAGGATTATTAGGTTTATATTGATTATGCTGAATTTTAATACTTTAAATTTAATAATTATAATCTTGCTCTTTAATATCTTACTATTTCTGAAAATAGTTTTCTTTATTTAATTGATTAATTTAGAATTTTTAGATTAAGACATTTTATTCTAAAATAAAATAAAAAAAGAAATAAAAAAGCTTATAAAAGTTTTTTTTTTTTTTTTAAAAAAAAATATTTGTAATTTCATATATAATGTATAAAGGTAAATTAGAAATTGAAAAAGTTATTCCTATTGAAATAAAAATAGATGAAATAAAAGAAAGAATTAAATATATAATAAGCTTAAATATAACTTTCTGGTAAACACTTTAAAAAAGTAAAATAAATTTACAAGAATGTAATAAAATTGCATTAAGTGTACAAATCTAAATTAAAGAGTTAAAAAAATTATGGATAAATATAAATAATTATCTAGATTATAGAAAAAAATGGAAATTTTATTTCGCGTGGTACATTCTTTATATTTTAAATAAAAAAGTCAAAATTTCTTTAATTGAAAAATTCTCAGGAATAAATAATGTTAATGAAACTGATATTTTTTCCGAAGAAATTTAAAATTATTAAGTAGAAGATGAAATAGATTAAGCAGAAAATACAGAATAAATAAATATTAAAAAAATAGCTATGACTTTTGATAAAAAATCATGTGTATTTATAGTTAATAGCGATAGCAAAGGAAAAATATTGCAAATTAATAAATCAGTTACCTAAATTTTTGGTTATAATAAGTTTGAAATCGAAAACTAATATAATATTACTAGTTTGATGCCTTTTACTTATAGTTCTGTTCATCCAAAATTAATCAATCAATTTTATTAAACAGGAAAATCAAAAGTAAAAAAATCTATATATTTATATGTATATATATTTATATAAAAAGGCTATGTATTCATAAAGAAGAATTTTTTGTTAAAATAAATAAGGATAATTATTTGCTGCTTGGAAATTTATAAAATAATATGTAACTTTATAAGGGCAATCTTAATTTATAGCACTGATTCGTCCCATAACATTTTTTAATGGAAGAATTATTAATTTTATAATATTTAATGAAGATTGGGAGATAGAGAGTATGTCAAAGGAACTTTTCGATTTATTTGGTATAAATTCAGAATTATATTAAAAAACAATAAAACTTACAGAATGCTATCAATAGAAATAATGTTCAAAAAACAAAGGTGATTCTGAAAACAAAATACTAAAAGTTAATAATAATTAGAATTAAGAAGGAATCATTTTAAATTTATTTTTGGTAATTCCTAAACTTTTATAGTTTTCTAGATTTTATGAATTCCTTACGGAAGATGATTTAGTCACTTTTGGATTAAAAAAAAAAGAATAATTTACTGGTATTGCAAATATTATATAAAGACCAAAAAAAATTTCTTTAAAAAATAATGATTTAAAAATTAATAGTAATAATATTTTTTTTGATAAGATTAAAGCTATTGCAAAGAAAAAAAGCAATTAAATTTAAATGAAAAAATAATAATAACTATCTTTATTAACTAATATAAATAATAATGAAGAATAATAAAATTTAAGCAATTAAAACATAATATAAAAACATTTAAACTAAAGTAATTCTTTTGCTATAAATAATAATATTAACTATATGGATGAATCTAATGCCAATTTAATTTAGGAAAGTAAAGAAGAGACATTTAATACTCCTTAGATTAGTTTAAATTAGCAATCTTAAAGATTGTATAAAAATTAGTTTTCATTGACAAATGAATAAAATAATGAAAATAATTCTAAATTGGACTAATCTTGTTTAGATATATAAGATTAGTTAAAATCATAAGAAACTTTCAATTAAAATTTTATATAATAAAGAGAATTATAATTAAAAAGAGAAAATAGATAAAAAACTTTAGATTAATTATATAAAGTTGATAATGGTGATGTAAATATATTATAATTATATTTTTTTTAAAAAATATATTGAATTGCAAAAAAAAAAAGGGGAATGAAAATTTAAAAAAAAGTTTAGATTAAATTTCAGAAGATACTGATTTTGAATAAGATGATTTATAATTTAATGGATAAATTGATTTAAGGTTAGAAAAGTAAGAATGTTTGAGATTTATAGCTAAAATACCTGTAGATGGAATCAGTTTTATGCAAAGTTATTATCGAATGATTTAAAATAGAATAATGAATGATAAAAAAAGAAATTAATTTGATTCTGGTAATTGCCTTGAAACCAATTTAAGTAGACCTTAAACTTTTAATAAGAAACAAACTATAAAAAAAGATGAAAATCAAACTTAAAATGAATTAAATTCAAGCAAGATAACTCAATATATGGAAAATAATTAATAAACAGATGTATTTTCAAATAATTAAAGAGATAAAATTTTATATTCGATAATAAAAGACATTTATTTATTACACATAAAAAGAACCAAACAAAAAAGTATTAAAATTACTTGTGTTACTGAATTTAAAAAAATTGGAAACGCACGAATTGGGATAATGAAAATTTCTAATTTGGAATAGATTAAAACTGGTTTATATTTGAATAATTTAAAACAAGATAAGTCTCCTTCTCCTGAATTTTAAAAGCCAAAAATTAAAATAAGTTTCTTAGAAAATTTAAATAATAGTTTTGTCCTTAATTTCACAAATAAACTTGATAATAGATAAAGCTTAAATAACGAAACTTTAAAAATTAGTAAATCGAATGGGCTAGGATATTAATTAAATTCTGATAATTAAAAAAATATTTAAAAAGATTCTTAAATATTTTAAAATGATTTTAACAATAAGAAAGGAGTTAGAAATTATTCATTTAATGCTTAAGAAAATATTTATGTCAAGGAAGATAATAATAAACCTAAAAAATAAATTAATACAATTACTAGTATTAAATTATTTATTAGATTGTTCTTTATAGCTTTCATATTTTTTAATCTTTTTATATTCTTTTTAATACCATTTGAAAATTATACTATTTTTTAAGATTAAGTAATATATAATATACGAAAACAATATTTATTTATTTTCTCTTAAAGGCTTCTAGATGTATTTAATTAAAATAATTAAATGTTTAAATTCTTGAAGGATATGACTATATTTTAGATTAAATTATGATAAATAGTAATATTTATAATAATTAAAATATTTAAGGTAGTATATTTTAAAACACAAATTAATTTTAAGAAAATAACTTCTAAAATTTTATTGATTTAGAATCATATTATTCTGAACTAAATCTAAATTTAGATATCAAAAAGTCAATTTTTGACCCGAATATAATAGAATATAATTCAATAAGCAAATATATTTTAAAAACGAAAAGAATTATTTAATTTGATTAAAAGTAATTTAAATTGGATAATTTTGATATTTTTGAATAAAACATATATTATATTTAAATGCTCTCAAAAAAAGCAAAAGAAAAAAAATTAAACGAATTAAACGAAAATAGTAATGAATTAATATTTTCAAGGTTTTTTATATTAAAAAAAATCACATATATTAATTAAAATAAATAAAAAAGAAATTACATTGTATAAAAGTTAATTAATAACTTAGATATAGCTGAAGATAATATAATAAACTTTTTTATAGAAAATGTAGATAATGTATAATATATACTTTATTTGTTTTTAATAATAGAAAGTATTACTATTCTTTTATCATTTTTAGTATTAGTAAAATTAATTTTTATTGTATGCAATAGTTTCTAATCTATACTTGAAAGCTTTATTTATATAAAGTAGAAAGATATAAAAATAATTTTAGACTATAATTATTACATATAAGAACAATTCAACTACGTAACTTAAAAAGACGAATACTTTTCAGTAGAAAGTAATAGGAAAGTTATGGATGAGGCTCAAGATTATTAATAAAATAATAATATTTATAATTAAATAAAGAATAAATAATTTAATTTTAATTTATTAGAATCAGAAGATACAAACAATAATTTTATTAAAAGGCAAAAGAATATTAATAATGGAAAATTATTAAGAAAATTAAAGATAAGATCGCTTATTTATTTTCTAGTTTTTAGCATTATAACTATTGGATCAAGTTTTTCTTTTTTATTAGACATTAAAACTTCTATGGACAGTCTAGAAATAAAGATTCGAAATTTTTAATTTTTCAAAACAACAATTTCTTATAATACTATAGTATTGATAATATTAAAAGAAATGAAGATAAATTTAAATAACTATAAACAAAATATTCAAAGTAATTTTCAAAATTTTATAAATATTTACTAAAATTAAAAATGGGATTAAAATTTATTAATAACGAATGAAGGTAATTTTAATTATAACTTTTAGAAAATTTATTTCAATAATCCTTGTATTTAATACTCAAATTTATGGAAAGAATAAAATTAAAGTTAGGAGTGCAATTCCGTTGTTTAAAATGCAATGTAAAATGGTTTAAGTAATTTTAATTTAAGATTAAGTATTAAAATTTCTGATGATATTAAAGATCCAAATATTAAAAGTAATTAAAATTTAAATGTTCAAGATTTAATAGATTATTCTAGAGGTAATTATTACAAAAAGAAATTATAATAATTTTTGTTGGAAACATGGAATAAAGATATTTAAGAGTTCTTAAGTTTATAAAAAATGAATGATTAAATTTTAATTTCTATAATGATTGTATCACTTATTGGATTATATATTATTATTGCTGAATATATATTGATTAAATAATTTATTAATGAATATTAATAATATAAATATATATATAAAATGTATATGCCAGATGCTATTATCACCAAAGAAAAAAGAATTAAATATTGGTTGATAAAGCATGGCATTTTAAAGCAATAACTTAATTTCTTTTTTTTATGAGGGAATTTTATAATTCTCTTTAATGCAATTTTTTTTATTTACAATATAAAAATACTATATAAATAAGTTTTTAAAGTTAATAAATTTTATCAAAAGTTTATAAAATAATAATCTCAAAATTATAATTAACCAAATTGTGATTTTTATATTATTATTTTATAAAAAAACTCCGATCAATTTTTTATTTTTTCATATTTAAACAAATTTATATTTTTATAAAAAAAAATTCTTATTTGCTATTAAATTTTAATTTACTTATCAACATATATATGTATTCAAAAAATCAATTAAAATTTAATGAATAAAAAAAAATATTAATTAATTTTAAGTTCTATTGTTTAAAGCTTGAATTAGAAAAAAATAAAGAAAACTCAAGAAAAGAAAAAAAATGCAATAATCCGTTTTTTTCACAATTTTTTTGATGATTAAACTTTAAAAAAAATACAAAAAAATATAAATGCTTAAAAGTAATAATATAAAAAGTAAAATATTAATAATCTAAATATTAGAAAGACTATTTTTAAAAAAAACATTATTATTAAATAACTTTAACGTTTAAATAATTACAAAAAATTATAATTTATATAAAATTGAATAATATGTTAAATGCATTAAAAATTATGAAAATAATTTAAGTTTGGCAAACTTTTCTAATAGTCTATACTTATATTTTATAATATGAAGTTAATTAGAAATATTATGACAATGAATATTTAAAAAATATGTATGTATAATCAATAATTTTGCATATTCTTGATTATATTATATTATATTATATTTGATTTAATTTTTATTTTTATTTTTATTTTTATTTGATTTTTATTTTGATTTTGATTTTTATTTTGATTTTGATTTTGATTTTTATTTTGATTTTTATTTTGATTTTTATTTCGATTTTTATTTTGATTTTTATTTTGATTTTGATTTTTATTTTTATTTTGATTTTTATTTTTATTTTGATTTTTATTTTGATTTTTATTTGGATTTTTATTTTGATTTTTATTTTTATTTTGATTTTTATTTTGTTTTTGTTTTTAGTTTTATTTTATTTTATTTTTATTTTGATTTTTATTTTATATCTATCTTTTTTATTTTTATTTTATTTTAATAACAAATTTAATTATTATATTAATAAAAAAAAAATATTATATATTTAAATTATATTAAAATAATTTCAAATTATATTTATTATATTTTATTAATAAAAAATTATTATAGCTAATCATAATAATCTTAAATTATATATACATATTTTTAAATATTTTAATATGTTTGTTAATTTATTTTAATATATTATAAAAAAATTGAAAAAAATAATTAATTATAATTTTAAATGTATATGTATAGTTTAATAAATATATTTAAAAAAGAAAATTAGAGGTTTATAAATATATTTATATGAATATATATATGTTTAGATTGATTATTTGGGATTGAGGTTAGGATTTAGGGTTTGGGGTTGGGGTTGGGGTTGGGGTTGGGGTTGGGGTTGGGGTTGGGGTTGGGGTTGGG